TGAAGTGTTGCATAGAGCCTGCTGTGAGGGCTTAGGTGAGGGCAGCAAGCCGGGGTGTACCAAGCAGAATGTCTGCCCCCCGAGCTTCTAAGAAGGATATGAAGGGAACTTCACTTGTGGCAGGTACCCGAGTGTTCAGTGCTGGTCACATGTATGATACTTCCACTGATTCGTTCAACCATGGTCGAGGGTTGGCCTTGAGTTCGTAGATTAGATGGGGTAAGCAGTTGTGTAAGTGGTAGTGAGTGCTTAGGGAGGATGTCATGGATCTGGTATGAGATCCAGCAGCCACTGGAGCTCATAGGAGAGGAGAGAGGAGCTTGAAACTCTGGTCAGTGCAGCCAGGAAGGGCCACAGCTGTACATACAGGTGGAAACTAGAGGGTTGCATATCCCTCGAGTTGTAGTAGCTCTTTGTACAGGTTAAAGGGTAGATTTGCCCAGCTGCTTAAGGGCCAGACATGGTGACTCATGCCTGTAATCCCAGCGCTTTGGGAGGCTGAGGCAGGCAGATCACTTGAGCTCAGGAATTTAAGACAAGCCTGGGCAACATAGCAAGACCCCGTTTCTACCAAAAAAAATTAACCAGGTGTGGTGGCATGCACCTGTGGTCCCATCTACTCAGGAGCCTGAGTAGATGGAAGGATTGCTTAAGCCCAGGAAGTCGAGGCTGCAGTGAACTGTGATCACACTACCATACTCGAGCCTATGTGACAGAGTGAGACCCTGTCTCAAAAGAGAAAACAAAAAGCTACTTAAGGATGAATGGCTTTGACCCCTTGTTAGTTTAAAACTCTATTTTTCTTTTTCCTCTTTTCCATGGGTTCTGAAAATCTGCCACAGCAAACACAGAGAATGTTTTGTGACTCATTCATTCACCCATAACTGCAAGGACTCTGGACATGGCCGCCTGCACTGTGTTCTCCTGGCTCCCCTTGATGGTAGCAGCATGGTGGCAGGCCTTTGTAGGGCACAATGACATCACCTCATTAGGTTCTCTCCATGTGGTGGTGGCTAACCAGCAGGCCTAGAGTTCCTCTGTCCCTCCTTCAGCAGCCGAGCCCCAGCCCTGGGGTGCTCACTGGACCTCAGAAGCCATGGGCATTTGCTGTCACTTCTCAGGACAGTGTCCGACTTTCCTCTCTGATGAGAATCTGGGGGAGTATAGCTTTGTGGCTACAAGGTGGCATCAAAGGTGTTGTAAGATCACATTTGTTTTTATTGTATTTTGTTTATTTGAGACAGGGCCTTGCTTTGTCACCCAGGCTGGAGTACAGTGACTCAAGCTCAAGCTATCCTCCCATCTCAGCCTCCTGAGCAGCTGGAACTACAGGCACTTGCCACCCCCAGCTAATTTCTGTATTTTTTGTAGAGATGGTTTTGTCATGTTGCCAGGCTGGTCTCAAACTCCTGAGCTCAAGCCATCTACCTGCCTTGGCCTCCCAAAGTGCTGTGACTACAGGTGTGAGCCACCATGCCCAGCCTACTTCATTTGTTTAAAAAAAAGAAAAAAGATTGGGTCGGAGAGAACGAGACTCAGACGTTGTTAGCATGTAGGTAGTGCAGTTTTCCAACCATGCCTAGGGTTCGTGCTCCTCCTTTCCAAAAGCATTCAAGGTGGATTTCAATGTTTAAAGGTTGTAGTGTTTGACTGTGAAGGAATAAAACCTGAAGATTCATCCAAAAGATTCAAAATGAGTAATTACAATGACGACATCGAATTTAGCCATGTGGCTCCTGAGCAGGCAATTCAGCGGCCGCGCAGGCTTTATTTTCTGTCCCAGCGGAGCATGTGGCCCCTCAAGCCGTTCTCTGCGTCGTGCTGTTTAGACAACCTTAAGGACAGCACTGTTCACTCTCCAGTCTCAGGGCCCTTCTCAAGGAAGGAGGTGCTGGGTGTGGGTACCACAGTGGCCCAAGGGCCAGGGATTGCTTGGTGTGATTGATGGCTCCTGTTAGAGTTACTGCAAATGGCCTGTCACTGCTCAGCTACTGCCAATCTAACTACTTTTTCTCTTTTCTGTTTTCTTCCTGTATTCTCGTTTTTGTTTGTTCTCCACCTGGATTCTGTAGTATAAGTCTGTGTTTAGGTCCTACTCCCAGGATTTCGTGCCTCACCACCAAGCTTCCGTTCCGCCTTTCCTTCCACCTACCTCCTCTTCCTCTCCACATTTCCCACCTGTCCACCAGTCCCAGAGCTCTGACTTAGCCGTGCCAACCATAGCCAGTCCACCTCCCAGCACCGTGGACGGGCCTCTCTCGGCTTCTCAGGAGAGCAGCTTTCATGGGAATACTGTCTGCCTTCCTTCCGAAACCTCTTTCACTGACTCGGTGAGAACTCGGCGCGCACACACACACCCCTGCACATGGAGCAACACAAGACACTGCCTCCCCTTCACTAGCAGTCAGGGGTGCTACCAGCGCATGCCTGCTGGCAGCATGGCTGGACTGACAGCTACTGAGGGTCACAAGGTGCAGTGGTAGCCCCTCTGTTTCCAGAACACAAGGAATCTTCTCTACAGTTTCATGAAACGAGGAATCTGATTTTCCACAAATGGATTAGTGGCCATTTAGAGAGGAAGTTCTCAGATGCATAAGATACAAAATGCTCCTAGCTTTCCCTTTAATTGTCTGTTTTTAGGGAAAGGTACAAACCCCTTTGTGAGTGTGGAGGTGACAGATTCGAGGCGAGTGTCTGTTGGGTTGCACGTGGTGCCGATGACAGAAGCCTGGTTTCCAGCCTGTTAAAGTGCCCGTACCGTTTCATCTAACTCGGAGAAATGCTGCCCTGCAGATCGGAGCGGACACACGGATGGGGCAAAGGAAGTACAGGCAGCGGGACCCCTGGATCTCCACTGCCACGGGGCCATCTCTCCAGGATGGTTTGGCCCCGGACACCATTGGAGAAGCAGCAGTAGGAGACTCAGGCCCCTTCTAGCGCAAAGGCGAGAGCTGGCCAAAGCAGCTTTGCTGTCTGTGCCTGGGGAGAGCAGAGTGCAGGCCGTGGCGTTCCCCTGGCCAGCTGTGAGGGCTGGCTGGAGGGCCTGGCCCATGTGTCTTTCCTCTCGTCCTGTCTCCCCCAGAGTGAAAACGCCAGTGAGGAAGCTGGTGAGGGTGAATACGTCAATCTGTATTCCTCTGGCCAGAGCAGCGAGGAGCTGGCTCCCCCTCGAGGAGTAAGTAACCTCGGGCGGCCTCCTGCATGTGGCCTGGCCTGGCAGGGCTTGGGCCCTGCCCTCCCGAGGCCGCTTCCCCCGCACCTGCTTCCATTGGGCTGAGCCCCCTCCTGGTTGCCAGCAGACTGAGCTCCCACAGGCTGGTGGGAGCCAGCTCAGCCCTTGGGAGAGGATGTGGCTTCCCGGTGGAGGTCTGCCCTTTACTCCTGCTTCAGTGCACCAGCTCAGCCCTTGGGAGAGGATGTGGCTTCCAGGTGGAGGTCTGCCCTTTGCTCCTGCTTCAGTGCGTGTGGCACTCATCAGAGCGTGGTCAGATGCGTCTTCTAGAAATCCTGGGAGCAGCATGGCGCGGGCCCCGGCTGTGATTCCAGTTGCTTTCTCCTGGGTTCCTTCCTCTCTCATCTTCTGGTGTTGGCTTCATTTTCCATCCCTCATATAGAGGGAGGGACTCTTCTCCCCATGGGGCCTTTCAGACCCTCATCTCCCTCCTCCCCAGCATGTCCCATTGCTCTAACGCTAACTGCTTCCAAGGAAGTGGAATGAGTCTGGCCCATAGCCCCTGCCGTGGCTATGCACACCCCCTCCTGAGGGAGCCTTAAGGTACCCAACATCAGCACCCTCATGACGCTACTGCCCCAGCTCCCAGCCGTCGAGGTACAGCAGTTCTATTGAGCAATCCACTTTCCAAGTTTGCTTCAGCCAAACATGAGCAAGTTCAAAACCTTCGGAAATTGCTCTCCTCACAAGCTCAAGTGGGACAAGTTCCTTGAAGGGAGGCCCATGAGGGCTGGAAGACTCCCAGTGACCCACCAAGGCCGGGCCCCACCCATGAAGAGCTTGGTCACACCCGTTAAGGTGGTTCTGTCAGCAGGGTCCCTGCAGGGGTTCAGAGGCCCACACAGAGCAAGCCCTGTTTCGGGCATTAGTAAATTGTAGAACATTGAAGAGTGTTCACTCCAGTGGGATTTGCCCTTGTTTGTGGGGGCTGTCCCCTCTGCTGACCTGTGGCTTTGCACAGCTCTCTTCCTCCACCCGTGATGCTGCCAGGGCTTACTGGCTCCTCACCTCAGAACACTCTTTCTGTGTTTGTGCTGCCCCTGTTCACCATCAGGCCTCGGCAGCAGACCAGAGATGCTGGAGGGCCATGTTGTCACTGAGCAGCGCCAGCCCAGGGACCCAGGAGGAAGCGAGTGCTGGGGGAAGAGGAGACTGGCATCCCTGGGCCTGAGCAGCTGGCCTTGGGGTACTGAACCCGGCTGAGCACTGCAGCCCTGAGGACTTCTTTAACTTTCAGTTGGCAGAGTTTGGTTCATGACAGCAGGGCCCAGTGGTTAAGGGCACAGGCTTTGCAGGTAGATAGCCCTGGGTTCCAATCCAAGCTCTGCTGTTGACGAGCTGTGTGGTCTTGGGCAGGGTCCTTGACTTCTGGCCTCTGTGTCTGTGCATGGAGCAGGGATGATGGTGTTAGCTCACTGACGAAGTCAAGGAGAAGCAGGCAGAGCCTTGAGCCCAGTGCCTGGCTGTGCTCATGTGGAGTGGCTATGGTGACAGTCCTCTTTGAGGAGGTGGTTGAGGTGGCTTTGCCTAGGTTGGCAGCTAACAGATGTTCCAAATAGTGGCACCTTTCACTCTCTGCAAAGGCCAGATGCTAGTCTCAAGGGCTTGTTTCCTGTGGTTAATGGCATTCATCGTTAATTCGTTCACATCTCAGATTGCTCCATAGGAACTTGCACTCCACAGCCACTTGCAGGCAGGAATGCTGGGAAGACAGAGCAGCCCTGCAGCGGGCCCCTGTCCAGAACTCAACACCCACTCCTCTTTCCAGGAACCACCGGCTGGGAAAGATGGACATCCCAGAGATCCCACAGCGGTCGGCAGCGTCCCTGGGAAGGATAGCAGAGACGGCAGTGAGAGGTAGGAAGTGGACCCAGAGGAGCAGCATGTCCTCTGGGTAGGAAGGGTTCCCCTAGAGTAGCACGTCCACTCAGTGAGGCCTGCCTGAGTGGCCCCTCCCAGCGGGCCCCTAGGCCTGAGGGTGTGTTTCAAGTTGAAACTCTTTCTTCCTTCTCTTGTTCCCTTTTTTTGTTTTTTAGAGACAGGGTATTGATCAATCACCCAGGCTGGAGTGCAGTGGCACAGTCACAGATCACTATAACCTTGAAACTCCTGGGCTCAAGCGATCCTCCCACCTCAGCCTCCCAGGGTACTGGGACTACAGGCATGCACTACCACGCCCAGCTGATTTATTTTAATTTTCTTTTTTTTTTTTTTTTTTTTTTTTTTGAGACGGAGTCCCGCTCTTGTTGCCCAGGCTGGAGTGCAATGGCGCGACCTTGGCTCACTGCAACCTCGGCTCACTGCAACCTCCACCTCCCAGGTTCAAGTGATCCTCCTGCCTCAGCCTCCCGAATAGCTGGGATTACAGGTGCCCGCCACCACGCCTAGCTAATTTTTTGTATTTTTAGTAGAAACGGAGTTTCACTATGTTGCCTAGGCTAGTCACTAACTCCTGGTTTCAAGCAGTCCTCCCACATTAGCCTCCCAAAGTGCTGGGCTTACAGGCATAAGCCACTGTATCTGGCCCTCTTCCTTTTTTTCAGATTCTCAAATAATACATGCTCAGGGTAGAAACTGTTGAAAAGCATAGAAAACTGCAAGAAAGCAAGCAAAATCACTAATAATCCCACCCTTCAAAGGCCTTCACATCCAGTTTGCCATTACTTCTTGATTGTTTGCACCTATATCATCTTACAAACTACCCATGAGAGTCTTGTCTTTTTTATTTTTTCTTGGTCTTGACCTCTTTCAAGTTGGTAGGGAATGTAAAAGACACCCCCCTCCACCTACAAACTTATCGGGGACATTTCTGGACATATGTATGCATATTGTGTTGTAACAAAAATGTCTTGTATAAATTTTTTGCAGCCAAGATCAGGAGCTGTGCATTGCATTTAGTTGTTATAGCTCTTTAGTGTCTTATAACATGTTTTCAATATTAGCACAAAGCAAACCTGGCCAAGTGTAGAAATATGTTAGTAAATTTCCCCAATATGCACTTGTAAAATACGATGTGTGGGAGCTACAAATCGGCCCTCCCACCTGCAACTTTACATTGACTTCGCTGTGTGCCACATGTTCAAGCTTTTCTTCCCTCTTTAGGCCAAGCTTTAGCCACCTCTGGGGTTGTTGGTGACCTCAGAGCAAGGGTGTGCCCACTTGTCATTATCAGGGCTCAGCATGAATGCTTGAAGAGGCAGTTAATAAAGATAGCAAAACAAAGAAAAATAAATGAGAAAGCATTGATGGGGACCTGTTGAAGAGGGCCACCTGCCCAGCCTGCCTCCTGGCCACTCTGGTGCTCTCAGCTTTGTCTCTCTGACTTGTCTGCTCAGACTGAGGTTTCCCCAGGTGTGAAGCTAGGAATGGTGAGGTTTCTAGGTTAATACCTGGAGCAGAGTGTGCGGGCCAAGCAAATGCAGTATGTGGGTGTGCCACCAGCTTCATTGGACCCCAGAGTGTCATCTTCAGAGTTCCAGATGGTTCTTGTGAAAGAGAAGGATGAACACTTTGACTGCTGAGAAACAATTATGGGATGTTGTCCTTCCACCAGGGCCAAACCACAGGCTGGACATTGACAAGACGTGGAGCAAGGTTCCTCACAAGACTGGGCAAGGCCCACTCTGACCCATCCACGTTCTTTTACTGAAGGCACTTTTTTTTTTTTTTAATACAGAGTCTCGCTCTGTTGCCCAGGAGAGCACCACCACGCCCAGCTAGTTTTTGTATATTTAGTAGAGACAGGGTTTCACCATGTTGACCAGGCTGATTTCAAACTCCTTCACCTCAGGTGATCTGCCCACCTTGGCCTCCCAAAGTTCTGGGATTACAGGCGTGAGCCACCGTACCTAGCCTAAAGGCACATATTTTTATATCTCACATACCTGGGGTTAAAATGTGACCTATGTAAGACTGGCCAGAATAAAAGAGGAATGTGCAAGAAAATGCCAGGGGAAAACCAGGCATATCTGTAGGCACAGCTTCCACTCCCCATAACACCCTAAGCTGGGAGACACATCTTAGGCACTCCCGGCCATCCCACCTTCCCCTTTGTAGGGAATATCCTCTCCCAAACTTCAGCCGGCAGCTTATGCTCAGTGCTGCAAGCCTCAGCTCACCATCCCATTCCAGAAGCCTCCTGACCTTTAGACGAGGCCAGACCCCCTGCTTGTGCTCCTGGTACTCTTCTGAGCTTCCCTCTCTCCGTGCTGCCGTGATCACTTGTTTTAAATTCTGTCTCAAAAAAAAAAAGACAGGCACAGTGGCTATAATCCTAACACTTTGGGAGGCCAAGGTGGAAGGATCACATGAGTCAGGAGTCAAGACCAGCCTGAACAACATAGTGAGACCTTAGCTCTACAACATGGACAGAATTACCCAGGCATGGTGGCCTGAGCCTGTAGTCCTCACTACTTGGGAGACTAAGATAGGAGGATGGCCTGAGCCCAGGAGGTCACTCCAGCCTGGCCTACAGAGGGAGACCCTTCTCAAAAAAACATACATAAATTCTGTCCCTAGAACCCTCAGGGACAAGAGGCTATGTCCGCTTGGTTCACAGCTCTTTCTTAGTGCCAAGCAAAGGGTCCCGTGGTGAGTCGGGTCTTTTGAGAAGACTTGGGAGCAGACTCAAGAACAACGAAGCTTTCTCGCCCATTCTGCTTGCCCCTTTGCTCCTCTCCCTAAATGCTGACTGTGCGTTGGGCCTTGGCAGAGAGTGGCTGAGACCGTCACTTAGTTTAATGGAGACTTTTTGTTTTCCCAGCGAAATCACTTCCATGTACAGATGGGGCATCTGAGGCAGCAGGAAATGTCCTCTGTATGGCCACACAGCCAATCCGTAGCAGAGCTGAGGATCCAGTCCATAGTGATATAGGCAGGCTTGTTCAGGGAGCAGTTTTGAGCCCGTGCACAGACCAGCACTGCCTTGGCCTCCAGGCCTCAGGAGCCAGGGCCAGTTTGACACTTGTAACACAAACCACTTCTCCCTGCAGGGCCCCAAAGTCACCAGATGCTCTGGAGTCGGCTCAGTCAGAAGAGGAAGTGGACGAGCTGTCCCTCATCGACCACAGTGAAATTATGTCCAGGCTGACGCTCAAGCAGGAGGTGAGGACTTCCCAGGCTTGGGTTTGGCAGCCTGGCCCCACAGAGGAGAGCACATGGGGCTGAGGGGAATGTGATCTTGTCACAAACAGAACAACCCCAGGAGGCTTCGAGACCAAGTCTCTCAATGCCCCTGCTGGGCCTCTGGGCTGTGGGCTCTGGAGGGGTAGGTTCCAGGGTAAGCGTGACGTCCCCTGATGCTTCTAGAAAGTGATCTTACACAGGTCAGGTTCTGCAGCCTCTGTAGCCTCGGATGCCAGAACTCCTGACGGGGTGGGGATGGAACCCATGTGAATGCTCTGCAGACAGAGCCTGCCTATGGTCAGCCCTCACTAATGGGGAACTTTTTCTGTTGTTGAAAAAATAGCTCCACTGTAGCTTCAGACACCAGCTGGTGTCTCCCTGGGAGGCCAAGGCAGGGGAATGGCTTGAGTCCAGGAGTTCAAGACCAGCCTGGGCAACATAGCAAGACCCAGCTCTTTTAAAAAAAGAAAATTCAGGCCTGAATGCTGTGGATTCCCTGTTGCTATGCCTTGCCTGTAGAACCTTGTTGGTGAAAACAGGTTCTGTGACAGTGAAGAGGAAGCTGGACCAAGAGTACCCTGCCTCTCCCTCCTGCATGCAGTTCTAGAAGTGCAAAGAACAGCTTCATAAAGCAGCCTCAGCCTGAACCAGAAAGCAACTGTTTTGGGGCTTTGATTTGATGACACAGGGACAAAAGGGCAGATAGTACCCTCTGCGTACTCCCAGGCAAGGATACACTGGCTCTGGCCATGGCACGGAGCAGCCCTGGAAGGTGTCTGCACCTTGGGCCGTCACACGCAGGCAGGGGAGGTGGTGGTGCTCACACGGCTGGGCCCTCTGCAGAGAGAAGTATCATTTCATGATCCTTGCCATGAATTTCCTCCTTAAAATCAGGTCAGAGGCATTGCCCCAACTCCTAAGGGTAAACTCAAGACAATCTCGGACCTCTAGAGTCAGGAGATAAAATACCAAAACCTAAAAATAAAAATGTGGGTGAGTCTTGGAATGTGTGCCGCAGCCGAGAGGGCTGGTTCCATCCAGCATTACAGAGCAGGGAGCATTGAGGGGCTGGGGTGGAAACAGGCCTGGGGAGTTTGTCCTGGACCTCCTTTCCTGGCCCTGGTCACAGCTCTTTTTGGCTCTACACTGGGTGGCAGAAGCCTGTTTGCCCACATGGAAGCAAGTCTTGCTTCTTAATAGGCAGGTGGGGTTGGTGGAAGATGTGCAGTATCTCTGTCTCTGTGATGCTGTGCGCTCCTCTAATGAAGGGCCTCATGGAAGAACCTGTGCCATGCAAGTAACTTCTGTTTCCAACGGATTTAGATTTAGGGCAGCCTGCTGCAGTTTTGGGGGACATGGGCATGCTTAGAAATAGTCCTGCTGCTGCCTCGACAGGCATTCTGGGCAAGGCTGAGGACTGTCTTGCCTCCCTCCCCGCCCCCCCATGGAGTCCTACCTCACCTCTGACTTGTGGTTTGGTGAGCAGGGAAGGATGGATGGTGCTATGTCCCCTGGCCCAAGTTGTGTGCTCAAAACAGTGAGATGTCCTGGTGCTTTGGTGCCAGGGCAGCTTCTAGGCCATCCAGCTCCCCAACACAGTCCGATTTGTGCCTGTCACCAAGCACGAGGCAAGGTTGGAGGGCGCCCCTGGCATTGTAGCTCAACCACACTGCTCCTGGGGCAAGGAGCACAGAAGGAGAGGGGACTTGGGGTCCCTAAAGTGCATCATCTTTGCCATCTCATTCCTGCCTGTTTCTTCCTAAACTGACTCTCTGAAGGCCATACTCTGCCTCATACCTTCCTGGGTTGTTTTCATTACAGGGTGATGATGGGCCGGACGTCCGCGGGGGATCTGGGGACATCTTATTGGTCCATGCTACTGAGACTGACAGGAAAGGTAGGGCGCTGTCACCGCAGTGGCCTTTGTCTGTGTCAGTGAGCTCACTAGATGGCTCGTCCTGCCCCGGGTGCCACTCAGTCTCCCAGCACTATCCTGTCCACTCCTGGCAGCCAGCCCTGAGCAGGTCTGATCAGCAGTCCTGGTACGTACGCCTGAGTCAGAGCAGGGAAAGCCCACCTTGGGAGACAAGTAGATCATGTCCAACTCCGGGCATGCATGGTGTCCGTCCTCCACTGGACACTTGAATGATGGCATGTCACCCAGTACTACTAAACTTAAGATAACCTGCAGGTACCTTTTGATTCCTTTCCTGACTGCTGAGTCACTCTGTTATTCCAGACTATTAGACCGGACTTCAATCACATACTCCACTAGGAGATTATGGAAAGTTTGTTCTGTCCAGGAACCTTCGATTCCATAGCAGCAGCATCACTTTCACAACACACAGCTGCCCCACCCCACCGCACATTCAGTGTGGTAACTGAGAGGACTAGAAAAGCGAGGAACGTTCCCTAATCCCTAAAATGTCCTGCTGGGCGGACCCAGTGCTAGCAGAAGAGCTGCCATTCCCAGTCATGTTCTGGAAAGGAGGTGCCAGTGACCTGGTAGGGTGTGGCCACCACACCCTTCACTGCCTGCCCTCGAGGGGCCAGTGCCATCCAGCTGGCCAACCTCTCCACATACTGCTTCTCTTTTACATTAAAAAAAAATTATTTTGGACCAGGTGCGGTGGCTCACGCCATAATCCCAGCACTTTGTGAGGCCAAGGCGGGCAGATCATGAGGTCAGGAGTTTAAGACCAGCCTGGCCAACATGGTGAAAGCCTGTCTCTACTAAAAATACAAAAGTTAGCTGGGCATGGTGGCAGGTGCCTGTAATCCCAGCTACTCAGGAGGCTGAGGCAGGAGAATCGCTTGAACCCCGGAGGTGGAGGTTGCAGTGAGTCGAGATTGCGGCATTGCACTCCAGCCTGGGTGACAGAGACCCCATCTCAAAAAAAAAAAAATTATTTAAAAGATGATGTAAGAGCAATGGTGAGGTAAATTGTGGAGGGAATGAAAACACCCCCACCTTGAAACCCTAGCCCAGCCCGTTTCATTTCTATAAAGGACTTTGTCCCTGTGTTTCCACAACAGGTTTCCCAAAACTTGTGACCCAGAATGATTCAAGGAATTTCTGAATTATGAAACTAGTACTAAAAATATGTTTACATTGCAAAAAATTAGAGAAAAAGAAGAGATGGCTCCCATAAACTCACCGCAGCCACTGTCCCACCCTCCCTTCACTGTTCCCTCACCCTTTGTGTGTTCCAACCAGGGCAGGGCCCAGACCTGGCGACACTGCATCCCAGCCGCAGCTGTGCGGTTGCAGGCTTGGAGGGCCCTGGGCTTCTCGGCCTGAGCCGACTCCATTTGGTGAAGTGGGGAGCGGTGCCCCTTGTGCAGATTACGTGCAGGAGTGCGAAACCTGCCTGGCATGTCAGCAGTGCTGGGGGCGTGATCAGCACCATCCGGAGCACAGCCCTTGCTTGGCTTCTCTGCAGTGAATCCCCCTCCACGCCTGATACATGGGGCTCCATCCTCAACCGGGCACAGGAGCGACTTGCATTTCTTTTTTGTCCAATGTGAAGGGCCGAAATGGGAGCTGGCTCCAGACCTGGACTCCAAAGGGTGAACTCCACTGTCCCGTTGGGTGCAGCCACCTGTGCCCAAGGCCAGAGCGGGCCCTGAGACAGGACAGCCCAAGAGGCTTCTGGCTTTTTTTTGAGTCTCACTCTGTTACGAGGCTGGAATGCAGTGGCATAATCTCAGCTCACTGCATCCTCCACCTCCTGGATTCAAGCAATTCTCCTGCCTCAGTTTCCCGAGTATCTGGGACTACGGGCATGTGCCACCATGCCCAGCTAATTTTTTGTACTTTTAGTAGAGACAGCGTTTCACCATGTTGGTTAGGATGGTCTCGATCTCTTGACCCTGTGATCCTCCCGCCTTGGCCTCTCAAAGTGCTGGGATTACAGGTGTGAGCCACCGTGCCTGGCCGGCTTCTGGCCTTTACTGGCTGGACCTCCTGAGAGGAGGCTCTGTGACGGTTTGAGGTTTGTGTGATTTTATTAGCAGAAAGGTTGGAGGCTGCACAGAACCAAGGTTGTACCTGGGAAGCATTATTGAGGCAGAAGCCGTGGCTCCACTGGGAGGGGTGAACCACCTTGTGGCTGGTAACAAAGCTCCTTTGGTGGGTGCTTCCTACAAGCCAGAGACTGCACCAGCAGCACGAGTGTCTGGGAGCCCCCGTGGCTCAGGCCAGTGGAACCCAGCCTGCCGAGCAGGGTGCTTTGTGGTCGAACTGCTCTGCTCTCAGGTGTCAAGACCCGCATGGGAGAGGGTCAGGTCAGCCTTGACCTCAGGCCTCAGCTTAGATCCTGTCTCTGCCTTGGCAGCTGTGTGCCAGGCCGGTCACTTAGCCCCAGAGCTTCCGATTCCTTGGGAGGAAAATGAGGGACAATTTTGGGGCTGACTTTTAGGGCTGTCACAAGACCAGGTGAGCCAGGGAACACAAAGTACGCAGGGCTGTATCGAGAGCCGTGTAAACACTAGAGGGGTGGCACTGACTGCCCATCCCAGAAGCCAAGCTCTGACCCATCTGCCATAACCCTGGGCACAGCAGATGGGGGAGGGCTCTGGAATTGGGCACAGGTTGGCACAGACCCAGCCACACTGCATGCGGGCCGGGCCACACTTGGCCTCGTGCCTGGGCTCCTCCTCTCTTGGTGGGGTAACAGCCCTTTCTGTCTTCATGGGATTGCTCTGGGCATTGAAAGATGTGGCATGTGTTCAGGGCATGACCTAGTGCTCACCAGTGAGTCCCACGATGCACCCACAAAAGCCAGTCAACTTGGACCCTTTCTTTGAGAGGCAGGTGTGGGTCTGTGCTGGTCCCATCTCTGCTTCCTTGCCCAGACACTCTGAACAAAAATCCAAGCTTGACAGTTAACTGGGTGGGTTTAGAAGCCCAGGAATGAGCCCGAGCATGGTGCAGATGGGCTCTGCCGTGATTCCCAGCCCTGAGCCTCTTACCGGTCCGGGCTGTACCTCTTCAGCCTATCCTTAGGACTCAGAACGTGGAATTTCCCCAGATTTTAGTGATTGGACCCTACCATTTAAAAGTCTGGCCAGGTGCAGTGGCTCACACTGGTAGTCCCAGCACTTCAGGAGGCTGAGGTGGGTGAATCACTTGAGGCCAGGAGTTTGAGACCAGCTTGGCCAACATGGTGAAACCCCATCTCTACTAAAAAATATAAAAATTAGCCAGGTGTGATGGTGTATGCCTGTAGTCCCAGCTACTCGGGAGGCTGAGGCAGGAGAATCGCTTGAACCCGGGAGGTGGAGGTTGCAGTGAACCAAGATCTCACCACTGCATTCCAGCCTGGGCAATAGAGTGAGACCCTATCTCAAAAAAAAATTTTTTTAAGTACTGCCTAGGATTTTGTTTCAGGATCCTGCTGACAAGTTTGAACAGATGATTTTCTTTGTGCCCATAATGGGTAAGACCCTCCAAAGCATCAAACCTTAGGACAGACATTGCCTCTCAGAGTCTAATCCAGGGGTGGCTTCTACCTGGAACAGGCATGCTGCCAGGTTTTGATGTCTAAGGCAGGTGTCACTTATCAGCCTAAGTGCCCTTTTCCACTGGGATCAGAGTTGGCCTCAGCTCCCACAGCACATTTCCCCAGGTAGCACACGGGTAGAAAATGCCCATGAGATAAAACCCATTCCTGTTTCCCCTCTCTGATCTGCCATTCCGCTGTGAGAGATGGACGGAGAGAACATGTGACTTCTCTGGACATGCAGGCAGAGGCACCAGAGTGAGTTCCCAGGACCTCGGCCCCCTCACCCCGGTTGCACTCCTGGGCGCCTCTTCTGCCTCTGTCAGAGCAAGGACTCAGATCCAGCCTGGCTCCCACCCCAGCACTCTGCACCCTGATGAGCAGCTTGCGTTGCTTTCCCCTCCAGATTTGGTGTTGTACTGCGAGGCCTTCCTGACCACCTACAGGACCTTCATCTCCCCAGAGGAGCTCATCAAGAAGCTGCAGTACAGATATCCTTTCCTGCCTGACCCACAGCCCCTGCGTCACGGGCCTTTAGGAGAGAGAGGGGGCCCTCTTGCCCCTTGGCCCTCATGGGGGAAGCTGAGCAGCATGTTGGGTGGCAGCATGATTGAGGTGGGGACAGGAACCCCATGCACCAAGGTTCCCACCCCTACCCTCCTGCATTCCGGCTTTGAGCTCAGGCAAGTTCTTCATCTCTAAAAGGGCTGAGTAAAATGATGTGAAAAGGCTGGAACATAGTTGTGGTCATTGGATGATTCTAAAAAAGAATTAGGAAGAACAGACATGCCCCAGAATGAGAGGGAGCAAGTGTGCCAGTCCTGCAGAAACCTCCATGGTCCGTGCCTGCAGCTTCTCAGAGCTGAGCCCCAGGGCATTGGGCACAGTGGGTACCAAGACTCAAATAGCTCAGGGCTCAGCACAGCCCCTCCCCCGCAGCAGACCCTGCAGCTGCCACATCCGCAACTGGAATGGGTTCCTGTCCCCAGATCTACCCCATGGGCCCATCCTCAGTAAATGTCGCCCTCTGCAGTAGTGGCTGAGGGGGACCCCAGGGGCTTGGAAGGACCCACTTTTATGGCCCGTTGCCTCTTCAAGTCTGAACCTGCCCACCCTGCAAGGCTGACCTGCAGCTGCTACTCCTGGAGGACAGCCTGGGTCGGCCACTCCTCAGCCACCTCTTAGTACATGGCCACGGTTGCCATCTACTGGGCAGCCGCCACCACCTGGAGCAGGAAGTCTGAGTCCTCCAGCGCCCCCACCCCTTCCTGTATGCCCGGAGCCTTCTCCACTTGGGGTCTCCTGCAGACCTACCTACTGCCTCCTGGTCTCCCCTCATGGTGACTTTAGAACCCCTGATCTATCAAGATGGACATGGACATCTTCCATTGGTGGAACCTTGGGTCCCTGGCAGGGTCTGTCACTCGCGTATGTCAAGGATTTGCTGGTCAGGTACTTTCACCTAGCTCTATAACCATTTTGTAATACTTGTGTGTGTGTGTGTAAAATTACCGTATTATACATGGGGCTGCTGCCGTATAACTTCCTATTGTGTAATTGAGGAAACTAGGCTCAGACACGGGAAGGATCTGACCCAAGTGACTGCTTGATGGGAGAGCGGCCATACGCTACTTGCTCCTGCTGCCACTACTCAGGCTCTCAGCCTCTGCCCAGCCATCATGGAAATGTTGCAGCATCAAGGTCTGGGCCCGGCTGACTGGCAAATCCCCTGTGGTGTGAGCCAAGCCACTGTCCCTGGTACGTTGCTCTGTCCTGAACCCCATGACATGGAAGGTCGTGGATCGCTAGAGAGTGAGGAGGAGAGTGTCGGAGAGGTCTGGAGAGTCATTGGTGAGCTCAACAGCCCGGCAGGAAACCCTGACCACAAAACAGAGCCTGACCTCGGGGCATGAGCCAGAGATGGTTGGGTGCTTTACGAGCTGCCCTGGAGACAGGGAGCCGATGTGGAACATGCTGCAGCTTTGGGACGAGAAGCCCAGCCCAGTGTCAAAGGGGCAACAGCTCCCCTGCAGAGCCCAGGGAGGCAGCCTCAGGATGGAAGCTCACAGAAAGACTGGAGGGAGACACTTCTGGCCTGCACACCTGCCCCGGGGCCTGGGGTTTTCAGGGTATTTGCTTTGGGCCCACCGTTCTCTGCCTAAGGCTCAACAGGGCATTCTCCACAGGTCTGTAATCTCACAGGCACCTGGGGGTCCTGGACAGTGTAGCAGAGATTGCCTGGCAGAAGAGGGCAGCAGTCAGGGGCATCCCTGTGCTCAAATCTTGGCTTTGCAGTTCTTCCACTGCACCAGTCCCATGCCCGTGTTTCTAGATGCCAGTGCTTCCCATGCAGGGAGTCGGCCACATTGTAAGCACTCAGCAAGTGGTCGCCAGGAGTCAGTCCTCTACTCCCACCACCCCCAGCCAGCTACGTGGCTATTTCTTTAACCCGTGCTCCACATACGAGAAATTCTCTCCCTTCGCTGACACATTCAAGAAGCGTGTCAGCAAGAACACGTTCTTCGTGCTGGTACGGGTGGTGGATGAGCTCTGGTGAGTGCTTCACCCTTGGGGTCCTGGGGGGGGCCAGTGGGAAGGCAAAGGCTTCTTTCCACCTGCTTCTCCTGCCCACCAGCTCTGGGCAGAGCTGGCTCTTGCCTGCTTTATCTTAGTCCTTTGAGAGAATGGCCTGTCCCCAATACACCAGGGTGAGGTGGGTGAGGTATCTCTCTAGGCCAGGCCCTGGATTTCCTCATGAGGTCCCTCCTGGACCCTCAGGAGAGAACCCACCCCACCCACCTGCTCCCATGGGTGTCTCAGGACCAGTCTCCAGCAGGCCACGCTCTTGACTGCCAGCCACAGTGGAGGCTGTGTGGAGGCTGGAATGGGGGAGGTCGCCTCTCCCATGCTCCTCAGCGTTCCCATGGCTGGCCATCTGATGGGCACAGTACTTGCCGTAGCCATTCTGCTAACAAATCTCCATCAAGCGGGCTGCCCTCCTCTTGCTGGGGAGATGACCATGGTCAGTGGCCGTGCAGCTGAGAAAGGGCCACATGTGGACAGTGCTTAGCAGGGCAGGTTGGGGAGCATCCCTCAGGCATCTAGTCTGAGAGGCCGGGAAGTCTTGGCATCTCATCACCCAATGGGAGCAGCAGCTCCCCAGGGCGGGATTCGTGTGGGACTTGTCTCTGCAGTCCAGGCCCCAGCAGAGTCCCTGGCGCTTATCCACTCTGAGGCTCAGATGCCTGTTGAGTGCATGGCAGGAGCTTATGACCTCCAAGAACGCAGGCAGCCATCCCAGGCTCTTGTTTCCTGCTCTCTTCCCATGAGAAGTTTCCCAGCTCTGTGCCGGTCACAATCACATACGCTTTGTATATCCTGAGGCAAAGCCAGACTCTGCCTGGGCCTTCCATTCCTGCCCCTCACCTTGTGTCCTTTGGCCCTTCAGCCTGGTGGAGTTGACAGAAGAGATCCTGAAGCTGCTGATGGAACTGGTCTTCCGCCTGGTATGCAACGGGGAGCTGAGCCTGGCCCGTGTGCTCCGGAAGAACATCCTGGACAAGGTGGACCAGAAGAAGCTGCTCAGGTGTGCCACCTCCGGCCAGCCCCTGGCGGCCCGGGGAGTAGCAGCCAGGTGAGGAGCCCTCCTTTCCAGCCCCGCCTCTGCCGTAGGTGGTACTGGGAGGGGTGTCTTCCCCAAGAGCTGTGCCTTTCTCTTTTTACCCTCCCTCCCCATCCCGTTTTCTGCACAAGCCCTTTGATGATGCCTTAGGGACAGCCCCATGGGTTCCTGGGTGCTGGGCCTTTTCTCCAGGAGGCACATATTGGGTGGTGATCCCCTTGTTGCCAGGAAGTGGGCAGCAGGGCAGGGGGCTTCATAGGACAGGGCAGGGGTGCACACACCCAGGGCTGTGGTCACTTCTGGCTTGTCCCAGCACGAACATGGTCATGGTTGATGCTAGCCCAGCCACTCTGGCCATCCCTAAGAACCTGTGTAAAGGTTCCTGTCTGTGGCCCATCCCTGACAGTGTCATTTGCAGCTATAGATGTCTGTTGAATAGTGGGCTTCTCAGTGAGCTAAGTTTAGCCTTCGTTTCTTTGGCACCCTCTCTGTTCTTGCTGGAAACCCGGAAGCAGGGTCCAGCCATGAGCAAGCATTCCCTGGCACCTCAGCTCACGAGGGAAACTCAGGCTCCTGATTCCAGAAGCTGCTGGACACATCCGGCAGAAATGGGAGAGAAAGGCAGACAGTGCCATCCCAGAGAGAAGCATGAGGCCCATAGGGACCCAGGGAGCCCTTTGGGGCTTTCCCGCCCCATAGCCTCCACGCTCCTGCTGTCCTGAGAGGCTTTCCTGCTCTGACACCTGCAGCCCGAGCCTGCTCAGCTCTCCCCACTGCCCTCCCCACCCCTGATGGCTCTTCTCATGCCTCTGTCTTCCAGGCCAGGGACCTTGCATGACTTTCACAGCCATGAGATAGCAGAGCAGCTGACACTGCTGGATGCCGAGCTCTTCTATAAAATAGAGGTATTTTATAGTGGTCCCTGAATGAGAGAAACCCCCATCACGGGAAAGCTGGCGGCTCCACCTCCATCTGCCTTCTTTCCTTTTGCAGATTCCTGAGGTTTTGCTTTGGGCAAAAGAGCAGAATGAGGAGAAGAGCCCCAACTTGACCCAGTTCACGGAGCACTTCAACAACATGTCCTACTGGTAAGAGGCGCCCAGCGCCAAGCCTGTTGCTCTGGATGGCGGCACGACTGGATGGGCTTTGCATATTCCTCTGCGGGGAGCTGGAATGGTAGGGGAAGGAGCTTCCTTTCATTCCTCAGCTCCTGGAGGCCCCGTGAGCATTCACCATCAACGGTCGGCAGAGGACGGGGCAGGGACGGGACAGGGCTTGCTGGAAGCGGTTGAGGAGGCCCAGTGGGGAAGAGTGCGAGGGTCGAGGAGCAATATCTGCCGTAGGTGGTGCTGGGAGGGGTGTCAAGTTTGCCCTCCTGCCCTTGTCACTGCCAGGCCATGTCAGGTTGACGCTCACACTGGCTCTGCCTGACAGAGAACACTTAGCAAAGGAGTGGGTTCTGTTAATGTTTGTATTTAGTCTTTATTTCTTAAAGCAAAATGAATCCCAATAGTGTGTTTATAAACCAGAGCTCTTGTCTCTTCAAGAGGTGACAAAACCCCCACAGCAGCTCAGCGTCAGGCAGGACCCCTCAGAGCTCGGCAGCTGGCCACCCCCACCTGCCCACTCTTGCTGCCAGGAGAATGGCTGATGTATTTTAAAGGCCCCAAGGTCATTTAAAATACCCTTTCCCTACCTTCCCCCCACAGCACACCATCCTGGGGAGAACATGTTTAGCTGTGGCAACCAGACATCCAGTGTAGGGTTTTGCCCAACAGGATGTGGTTTCTGGGGCAGACGGAAGCTGTACACAGCCCCAAGCCTGACTGACACCAGCCTCTGGCCGGGTGCAGGAAGCTCAGGGGCACACTCCACAGGGCCTGGCTGCACACAGGTGCAAGCGTGGTGGCTCATGCCTATAATCCCAGGACTCTGGGAGGCCGAGGCAGGAGGATCACTTGAGCGTAGGAGTTCAAGACCAGCTGGGCAACATAGAGAGACCCCCTCTCTACAAAAAATTAAAATTAGCCAGGTACAGTGGTCCATGCCTATAGACTCAGCTACTCGGGAAGCTGGGGCAGGAGGATCAGTTCAGCCCAGGAGTTCAAGACTGCAGTGAGATATATTCACAGCCCCGGGCAATAAAACAAGACCTTGTCTCAAAAAAAGGAGGAAGCAGCTGTGCAAAGTGTGGCACCTCCTCCAGGTGACCCTGGTGGTGGCCCTGGGAAACCACAGGAAGTTGAGGCCAGCGTGACGTCCCTGCTGCACGCATGGCACAGATGGGACTGGCCTTTGGCTTCGGGCTCAGCTTTTGGTTGCTACTAAGGTTCTGAGAGCTTCCTTCCCTCGTAGCTGGCAAAGGTGACCTCTTACCTCATGTGCCAGCTGGTCTCCCCAAAGCCAGTCCTGCACCACACAAGGAACTTTCCCAGCCCTCTGGTACTTGGGGTCCATGCTCATCAGGAAAAGCTCTGCTTTGATCCTCCCATACTCCACCTGCAGATTCAAAGCCCCCTTCAGGCCTTCACCAGATTTCCTTATGGTCACCAGATTTGTTGTCACCAGATTTCCTTTTGGTGTCTTGTCTCTGTCCTGGGATGCCGTGAGCTCCTGGAGAGCAGAAACTAGGTCTATGCCTGGGGCAGGTACTCAGTAGGGGTGGGCTCGTGGCCAGTGGCATGGGGGTCATACAGGTCCTATCTCCACCAGGACCCCTGGGGCCTGCAGCGACCAGTCAGCTCAGCTGTTTTCATTTTCCCCTTGCTCAATGCAGGGTCCGGTCCATAATCATGTTACAGGAGAAGGCCCAGGACAGGGAACGGCTGCTCTTGAAGTTCATCAAGATCATGAAGGTAATGGTGGCCAGGTCCTCCCCAGACCGTCAGTCCCTGCACGGGGAGCTTGGGACTGGCCTGCCTTCCCTTCTGTCCTCCTGTCTGCCCTCTCCCCTGCTCTCCCGCCTGCCCTTCCCCCTGCCCTCCCTCCTGCACTCCTGCCTGCCCTCATAGCACCACCCCTCTCTCGGCAGCACTTGCGAAAGCTGAATAACTTCAACTCCTACTTGGCCATCCTCTCCGCCCTGGACTCGGCGCCCATCCGCAGGCTGGAATGGCAGAAGCAGACTTCAGAGGTGAGTGGCGTTGGGGCGTGGGTGGAGGGAAGCTGGTAAGGGAGCACCAGCTGTGGCAGAAGGTGCTCCAACTGGACTGAAGGCTGGGGCCTAGGCCCCTGCTCTGCTACCAACTGCTGTGTGGCCAGGACAGCTGCCCTCCTACCTCAGTTTACTGTCTCTGATCCCCAATCTTCAGGCCCCAGGGGGCTTCAAGGTTGGTTCTGGGGTGATCATGTTCTGGTGTTCTGCTGCCACCAGAACCAGGGAAGGCCCATCCCTGGGTTCCCGCTTCCCCTGCCCCGGCCTCCCTTCAGCCCGTCCTTCTGAAGGGTCTGCTTCAGGCCAGGCCCTGCTGGATAAGTGTGAAAAGAAGGGTGGGCAGGTAGGCCAGCATGGAGGAAGTGGCACTCATGCTACCACCCATATCGGAAGAGGAGTTTCCTGGGAAGGGAAGAGAATCAAAGGGGATAAAAGAGTGCACAGCCAGAAGTAGGTGGGGGCTCAGCACCCCCAGAGACAGGAGGAAGCCAGGGGGCCACATCCCCGGAGAACACCAGCTCTGGGTCACAAGAGCCTCAGGATGCCTGGTGAGGCGTTATCCTGTGGAGGGAAACAGTATTGCAAATGGGGACAAAACCCATAGCTTTAAGTGTCAGCCAGGCCATCCAGGGGTCGTGTCAGGGACCCAAGTTCAGGCAGGCCACCCAGGGATTGTGTCACGGACCCAAGTATGACCCAGGCCATTCAGAGGTTCTGTCAGGGACCCGAGGGTCAGCCAGGCCACCACCTGGGTGTTGTGTCAGGAACCCGAGTGTGACCCAGGCCACCCAGAGGTCATCTCAGGGACTCAGGCTACCCAGGGGTCATGTCAAGGTCCTGATTGTCAGCCAGGCCACCCAGGGGTTGTGCCAGAGACCCCAGTGTCAGCCAGGCCACCCAAGGTCTTCTCGTTCAAGCCCATGTTCAGGGATGGTTGTAAGCTAGTGTATGTGGAGAGGTGGGAAATTGACATGGCCTCTCTGCCTGGGGGTGTCCTGAGAAGGCAGCACTGCAGGGAGAGGCACCTAACAGGAGAAGAGGCTGGAGAGGGGCCTTCTGAGCAGGGGCAGGGCTGGCTGAGTCTCCTGGGTGGCAGCTCCCGCCCCTGCAGGAGGAGAGAAACTACCCAGCTATGCAGAGGGCAAGGTTGCATGCTGTCTCTGGTTGGTCCCCCAAGTGCAGGGCAGGGCAATTGCAGCTCTCAGCCAGGAGTGACGCTACTCAGTGTGTGCCTGAGAGGCTCCTCTGGCTGCACCACCTAGTGGGGCCAGGCAGGAACCCATCTTCCAGGACATCATACACACATGGACACTGGCTCCCCAAGCACGATGAGTACCATGGGGTGTTTCTTCACAAAAGGGCCTCAAGTCACCCTGTGACCAGGGGTTGAGCTGACACTCATTGAAAAGGACAGAATCCCTGCCAGCCAGGGCCTGAGCCCAGGCCTGCACCTGCCTGAGTGTTTGTGGGTGGTGGGACCTGTGGAGGTGGACAGAGGGTGGGTGACCCTCCAGTTATTGAGAAGGACCAGGACTCTGCCCCAGCATTGCACCAGCACTCGCTAACCCCCGTCTTGTCTTGTCCTGCCAGGGCCTGGCTGAGTACTGCACGCTGATTGACAGCTCGTCCTCCTTCCGAGCCTATCGGGCCGCCCTCTCAGAGGTGGAGCCTCCATGCATCCCATACCTGTGAGTAGCAGCCCCTCCAGGCCCCCAGCCCTGCCTGCATTTGCCCCCATTGCTCTGGGGATGATCTATTAAGCTCCCACAGAGAAATTCTAATTTAGGGGTTTCCAACAGAAACATTTATACTTCTGTTTTACTTTAAGCTTTAACAGTAAAATGTGCTTCTCATAATACAATTTAAACAGAAAAGAAGGGCTCAGGTGAAGTATACAAGTTCTCCTTCCCCAGCCACACACTCATTTCCTTCTGTTACCTGCCCATGAGCATGTGCCACCATGCTTGTGGCAGATGTGTGGCTCCTCTCCCTACACATGGCATCACACGGTATTCCAGTGGTCCCCACACTTGGCTGAGCATTAGAACAACCTGAGGATCCACAGCCACCCAGGAACCTTGAGACCCTTGGTGTAAAGAAGTTCAGAAAGTGCTTCCTGAGTGTGGACCATGGGATGGAAAAATATGTGTTTCACAGAAAAGGAACGTAGCTGAGTAACCAAAGCCAAACAGTGTCTGTTGCAGGACTTAGAAGAGCCTTTAGTATACTAGTAAACTCTGAGACTCTCCAAGAGACCAAAAACTCAGCAGCGTCCCAGGGCTGGGTGTTGAATGGCACATCCCTTATGGTTAGGGCTGCCCTCAAGGCCTCAACCCTCAGAGATACAGATCCCCAGGCTTTCTGCTCCGAGCGCTAACAGCCTTTCCCACTGTGGCCCCACATCTGCTCCCTCAAGCTGAGTTCTCCCTTCGTGGAGGAACTGTCCCCGTCTTTTCTCATCTGGCCTGAAGGCCTCTGCAGTCAGAAGCACCTATTAAGTTACTACACCTTGTTTGTTTGTGACCGAGTCTCACTCTGTCACCAGGATGGAGTGCAGTGGCATGATCTCGGTTCACTGCAACTTCTGCCTCCTGAGTTCAAGCTATTCTCCCACCTCAGCCTCCTGAGTAGTAGCTGGGATTACAGGCGTGTGCTACCATGCCTGGCTACGTTTTTTTTTTTTTTTTTTTTTTTTTTTTTTGTATTTTTTTAGTAGAGATAGGGTTTCACCATATTGGCCAGGCTGGTCTCAAACACCTGACCTCAGGTGATCCACCTGCCTTGGCCTTCCAAAGTGCTGGGGTAACAGACATTAGCCACCGTGCCCGACCTGTTTCTTTGTTTAATAAAGACAGGATCTTCTGTCACACAGGCTGGAGTGCAGTGGTGCAATCATAGCTCGATGCAGCCTTGAACTCCTGGGCTCAAGGAATCAGCCTCCTTAGTAGTGGGGATTACAGGCACACACCACCATGCCCAGCTAATTTTTGTATTTTCCATAGGGACGAGGTCTTGCTATATTGCCCAGGCTGGTTTCAAGCTCTTTTTTTTTTTTTTTGAGACGGAGTTTTGCTCTTGTCATCCAGCCTGGAGTGCAGTGGTGCAATCTTGGTTCACTGCAACCTCTGCCTCCCAGGTTCAAGTGATTGTCCTGCTTCAGCCTCCCTAGTAGCTGGGATTACAGGCGTGCGACACCACGCCTGGCTAATTTTTTTTGTATTTTTAGTAGAGATGGAGTTTCGCCATGTTCGCGAGGCTGATCTTGAACTCTTGACCTCAGGTGATCCTTCAGCCTCTTGGCTTCCCAAAGTGCTGGGATTATAGGTGTGAACCACTGTGCCTGGCCTAGTTGGTCTCAAGCTCTTGGGCTCAATCCTCCTGCCTCAGCCTCCTATAGTACTAGGATTACAGGCATGAGCCATCGCCCCCAGGCCTACCACACCTGTTAATAAAAGGAGATCTCTGCCCCTGCCTCCTGGTTTGAGCTGTGTAATTTTTTAACTGCTCATTTGTTAATTTTGCTTTAGCAGCCCACAGCTCTGCCCATGTGGGTTGAGCCCTGGCAGCGATGTCTCCCTCAGGCTCCTCATCGTCTGCACTGGCTTCCAAGGGGCCCAGCAGCTGCTTGTAGAACCAGAGGCCAGAGGCCTTGAGGTGGGAGCTCATTCTGGGAAAGACAGACACCCCAGACTGGCTTTTTGGTTTGCTCTGGGGTGTGGAAGCAGCAAGGGCTGAAGTCATGTGTCGGGTGCTAGGACTCGCAGTGAGAGCTGTCAAACCAATCCCTCTCCGTAGCAGTAACGGGCTTCCTCACCCGTCCTCCCAGGGGGCTGATCCTGCAGGACCTGACCTTCGTCCACCTGGGAAACCCCGACTACATCGACGGGAAAGTGAACTTCTCCAAGCGGTGGCAGCAGTTCAACATCCTTGACAGCATGCGGCGCTTCCAGCAGGCGTGAGTGCCACCGGGGAGGGCTGGGCAGGGCTGAGCCCCAGGTCACATGCAAGGAGGGACAGCCTGGTACGCCAGGGGAGGGGGAGCCACAGAGGACCCAGGGCCCTCCCACCTGCTGAGTCCTGGCCCTTCCAGTTTCTGCCAGGATGACTTGAGAGCATGCCCACCAGGCTCTGTGCCAGGGCTGGTCCTGGGCCTGGGCCCCATGTCAGCACAGCTCATTCTCCCATTTTACACACCAGAAGCTGGTGCCCTCCTTGCTGTGAGAAGGGCCTGACAAACCCTGGCCTGCCTGACTCAGGCACCAGAGCTCCCCCAGAGTGGTCCCTGGCATGCATTGTTGAGAGCAATAGGGTCACCTGGGGCCCCTTCCCTGTGAGTAGCTCAGCCTCAGGGCCCTGTTTGTGCTCCCTGTGCTGGTGGTACCATTTCTGAGTGCTGGTGTCCCCCTCTGTCACACCGGGTAACGGCAGCCATTGCAGCATCCATTTGCTTCAAGGCTGTAGGGATGGTCCCCGAGGCACCATCCAGGAGGGCAGTGCCATCAGGCCATGCAGCCCACACAGCTGCTCACAGACTGCTCCCCATCCCCTGCACCAGGCACTATGACATCCGGAGGAATGATGACATCATCAGCTTCTTCAATGACTTCAGTGACCACCTGGCTGAGGAGGCCCTATGGGAACTCTCTCTGAAAATTAAACCCAGGAACATAACAAGGAGAAAAACAGACCGGGAAGAAAAGACCTAGGAGCAGGCACGGGGATCTAGGAGAACGCTCGAGGGGCACAGGGGCGGCTCCCAGACCGGACAGGACCTTGGACCTGTTAGGCGCACGGCAGGAGTCCCGGCCTCAGAGCCACGAGGCTGGCCGGGCCTCAGTGGTGCAGTGCCAGGCTGGAGCTGGAGCCTGCTGGCCGCTTCCTGCCTCCCTCCTCTGTGGGAGCAGACCCGTGGGCCTCAGTGCAGCCAGTAGGCAGGTCTTGTTGCCAATTTGCAAACCGGTGGTTTTCTGGTTTTGTTTTATTTTCTGCTTTCACTTCCATCTCTCCCCGCTTGCCCTCCTACCCACTCCCCTCCAGGGAGAGAGCAGCAGAGACCTCATCAGCAGACCAAGGAAGTGGCGAGTCCTCCCCCTCCCTGAGCTTCAGGGTCCCTGAATCTTTTAAAATGGCAAATGAGTGGAGGCCTTCCAGGGTAGGCTGTCCTCCAGGGGCCCTGGAATGGGGAAAGCAGCTGTGTGGGCAGAAAGCAGAATAGACTGCAGGAGATGCATGGAGGATGGTGTGAGCTTTTCAGCAGGCCCAGAAAGGTACGCAGGTGATGCCTTAGCAGCCCCGCAGCCAGTGCTCTACACCGAGGTACTGGCACCAGCAGGGCCTCCCTTGCCCACCTGTGAGCAGCAGTGTCTGTCATCTTGTGGCCCCTTACCTCCCACCCTGCCACTGAGCCTTTCCCACACCATCTAGGGAGCTGAGGAGGCTGGAGTAAGGGAGGACTTGATCATCGAAGAAATACTTTTTATTGCTGGGAGTCTTCTGAACCTCACCAAACTGGGGCCAGAGCTGAGTTCCTGGGGGAGTTAATCTAGAGGGGAGAAGCAGCCACTCCCTCCTCCATTGCTCGCTGTGTGCCTTAAACTCCATCTCTTGTCCCTCCCCATCCCATGGCCTTCACTCCCTCCCTCCTTGCCCCATCCTGGGCTGGCCCTCGGGGCTCCTCCTCTGGCTCTTTCAGCCAGTGCTGTTAGTGCCCCTGGGAGGGAAGGGCATCCCTGAGGCACTGGAATGGTGCAGGCACTCCTTGGGGTCCAGGGAGGCAGAGGCCTCCTCCGCGGAGGAGCCTCCTAAGGTGGCAGCTGTAGCAGGCGGCTCTTCCCGCATGCTAGACCATCTAACAGAGCAGATACTCTTTCCATCCTCCTTGTCAAAACCATTCTCGCTGCTGAGGTTGACAATCTGGGCAAGGCTTGTGGAGCACTTGGCAAACAGAACCTTCCCTGTGCCGCCGGCTCCGTGGCCTCCAGCCTGGACCTTCGGGCAGGGCACTGCAGGAACCCAGAGATGCTGCCCCAGCCCGTGCCTCCAGGTCTGCTTTGCATGAGGGTGTGTGCCTGTCCCTGGTTTGGGACGTGGTCAAGTGAAGAGCAGGGTCTAACTTTGCGTACTTAGCCTAGTTCAAACGGAACAAAGGAAAAATGCAGAAAGCAACATCTGTTGATTATTAAGGTTTTCTTTAAACAACCATGTCACTTTGAGTCCTTCATGGGTTTTTGAACAGCATTTATCAAGAAGAAAATGTGGGCTTCTTCCCCTCTCCCATGTTTTGTTTGTCCTGTAGATGGAAGGAGGAGAGCTGTGATGCAGCAGGCGGGACCCCCTCTGGCAGCGGCCCTGCAGGGCCAGCCGGGACCTGTCACTTTATTATTTAAGGAGTGTGTGTGTAGAGTCGCTGGCTTATTAACAGTATTGTGTGTGGGTTGGGTTTTTTGTTTGTTCCTTCTTTTAAAAGTCCCTTCATTTCAATCCTTGCCTCTCTCTCCCCTCCCTTGCCCAGCTCTGTTGAATGCTGCTGTGCGTGTGTGAGGGCCGCTCTGCACACAGGGCCCTTGGGTTGTGCGAACTGAAATTCTCCCTGTATTTGTGAGTCTCATGCGAATCCCCCTCTGTAGCACAGGCAATGCCAGTGCCAAGCTGCAGCCTCCAAAACCAGGCCTCTCACCCCAGCAGCAGGCGGGTCTGAGTCTATGGTCAAGTGCTATCCACAGCTCTGTCTGCCTTTTCTCAGACTTGAGCCAGATGGAAGCGGGTTCACCTTCCCTGGATTCAGAACAGACCCTGTGCCCAGCCCTGGTGTGCCCACACAACTCCCCAGGCCCTTGTTGGGAGCCCTTGGTGGTCTGAGCGGCAGGGCCCAGGGGGCACGTGGGCAGTGCCCAGGGGCTCCCTGCATGAGGACCGCGAGTTCTAAGACTTATTGATGACAGGCGTCCCCCTGCGCCCCCTGCGCCTGGCCCTGGTTGTTGCTGAGCCCTGTGCTCAGTGCTGCGGCCTGGCCATGGCCTGGCCTTGGGGGGCTGGGTGTGTTGTGGGAATCAGTCTTCACAGACAGACATGAGCCAGGCAGAGGACTCGTTCCCTGCAGAGGTCAGTCCTCACCTGTAGGTGTCGGGGGTGAGGGGCCAAGGAGGGACAGGCACACACCATATCCGACCTGAACCTGATTCTGAGGAGTGTCTCCCGCCCCAGCCCCATGACCTCCACAGGGTTATATTGTAATATATGTGCCCCAGCTAACCTGTCTGATGGGTGGCATCTTCCTGCAGAAGTTTCAAACATGTAACTTTTATATGAAAAAATAAATGGATGAAAGCTGCCCGATGCCATGTCTGCGCCGCAGCTGTGTGTGTGCAATTACAGCGACAGCCCAGGCTGCTCCGGGCTGGCCTCGCTGCACAGGCAGGGCTCCTGGGAGGCTGAGGGTTATTCAGCACCATTCCCAGGCCCACTGGCTGCCATTAGGGTAGTTGTGGCTAAGCGAAATGAACGTCACCAGAACCTTCCCTCCTAGGCCTTGTGCCCTAGAAGCATTCAGCTGGGCAAAGAATTGCTCATGTCTGGAGGTAGATTCATGCCCAAGAGCCCCTCACCCCAGTGTCCTGGTGAAAACGCATTCCTTGGGTGGAATGCAGGGGCACAGGCCCTAGAGCTACTCCTCAGGGCCCAGAAGCACTATCTTTACAGCGTGCCTTTTGCGACGTGTCCTTCTCCATCCCGGACAGTCCTGGTGGGGAGCAGCAGAGCCTCTGCACCTACAAGGACTGAGTGAGGAGGCCCTGGGGATTCCAGTCCCTTCTCTCCCCTGAGGTATGCTGTGTCCCCTCCGTAAAGCACAGGGCCCAATGGCTCTGGGAGGCCATTCACCATCTCCCTGCCTTCCTCGTCCTCCCAGAGCCACCCCTACACCACAGCCCACCAGTGCCCCAGGGTTTCCAACCTAGCACCTGAGACTGAGCACCCGGGCATAGCCACCCAGGGATGGTGGGGGTTGGGCCCAGCCCTCATATTCACCCTGGTCCCCAGTCTCCAGCTTTCAGCTGCATGTCAGCACCTAGGGAAGCCCAGGAGCTCTGCATCTCTACCTCTGGGTGAGGAGGCAGGCATCTCCCCTCATGTACCCCAAAGGGCAGCAGCTTAAGCCTGTCCCTTTAAAGGGAGGGAGCCAAGTATTCCTGGGCTGATCACAAGATCTGATAGAAGGGACCCCAGCATCAGGTAAGCATCCACCACACCTCAGCTTTTGGCTGAGCACCTGTGTGCCAGGTAGCACCTGAAGCTTCCATGAACCTTGAGGGTGATGGAAGCCCAGGTTCTGGCCATTGTTCCTCACTTCCTCGGTGCTCAACTACTCATGCCTCAGGCTCCACATTATCACTGTTGTCCAATTTGACCAATGAGCACGCAGAGGCCTGAGAGCGACCAGTCCACTCCTGAGTCCTCCACCCCCATCGCCCTCCCCTGCCAGCAACGCCAGGAACCTGGTCTGGTCCCAACAACCCCAAAGAGCAGGAGGTGACGTGCCAGGTATGACCTCAGGCCTCAGCCTTCCCACCAGGGCTGCAGGGCAGCAGCTGCTATGACCCACCCTGGTCTTTGGTGACCGGCAGACCTCAGGATTCACCATGGTCACCGAGAGGAAACACCTTGACTTCCACCCCAACCCCAGAGCATCCCCACCCAGGGCCTGAGTACACATGCTTAGCCAGTAACCCAGGAGGCTCAGATGCCTGCTCCAACCAAGAACTGTGATCCCACCAAAAGTGGGCCCCAAGCCACCCACCTGCTCTGACCTTGCAGTCGGCAGTCTGAGTCCCGCCCCCAGTGGTGCAAGACTGGAGAATGGGGTATGATGGCTGCTCATTGTTACCCCAGAGGGGTGAGAGGCAGGCCCAGCATTCATTCAAACCATATTTTTCATTCATTCACTAAGGGTGCATTATTTAGGAAGCAGTCAAGGTGGGTCTTGGGCCACTGGAGTCCCTCAGTGACTGGCAGCAGCCTGGAGAATATGGCCTTGGCTGCAAAGGGCTGTGTCCTGACTCTACAACTGAGCAAAAGGACCCTGAGTAAGTGTTCTTCTCTGCTTCCCAGTTTCCCCAGCCGGAAGAGGTGTAATAGCCTCTACTTCCTAAGGTCTCACAAAGTGTCTGGTGAGCATTTCTGGGAACCAAGCCCTTTGAGACTGCTTTACCTCATTCAATTCTCTTAATTGAAAAATCACACAGGCCGGTGCTATGGCTCATGCCTTGTAATCCCAGAACTTTGGGAGGCCAAGGTGGGCAGATCACTTGAGGTCAGGAGTTCAAGGCCAGCCTGGCCAATATGATGAAACCCTGTCTCTACTAAAAACACAAAAATTAGCCAGGTGTGGTGGTGGGCGCTTGTAATCCCAGCTACTCAGGAGGCTGAGGCAGGAGAATTGCTTGAATGCGGGTGACAGTGAACTGAGATTGCACCACTGCACTCCAGGCTGGGTGACAAAAGGAGACTGTCTCAAAAAAAAAAAAAAAAAAGGAAAGAAATAGGGGAAACAACTTGTTTTTTTGTTTGTTTGTTTGTTTGTTTTGAGACGGAGTTTCGCCCTTCTTACTCAGGCTGGAGTGCAATGGCATGATCTTGGCTCACCGCAACCTCCGCCTTCTGGGTTCAGGCAATTCTCCTGCCTCAGCCTCCTGAGTAGCTGGGATTACAGGCACGTGCCACCATGCCCAGCTAATTTTTGTATTTTTAGTAGAGACGGGGTTTCACCATGTTGACCAGGATGGTCTCGATCTCTTGGCCTCATGATCCACCCGCCTCGGCCTCCCAAAGTGCTGGGATTACAGGCGTGAGCCACTGTGCCCAGACCAACAACTTGTTTTATGAACAGAATATAACCTTGACATTGAATCAAGACAAGAATGGTACAAGGTAATTACAAGTCAGTCCAATTTGTGAATACTGATACAAAACTTATAAAATCATCTTAGCAACCCCAAACCAGAAACGCATAACCGTTCTTCCTGACCAAGTTGAGCTTATCTCAAAAATGCAAGGATGTAATAATTTCAACCAGTTAATGAATGTCACTGATCCCATGCTAGACGCTGCTGCTCCACACCTGGTTTGCGTCTCCTTCTTGGGCACACAGGACTACACTTCCCAGCCCCCTGCCTGAGATCTGAGAGGCAGACACGTGTCACTGTGCCGTGGGCATTTAAGGACTGTTGTGCAGGTTCATACTTACTCTTTCCTGCCCCCAGTACCCCTGGAGTCTGGGTGTTGAGATGGCAGAGCCCCAAATGGGGAGAGCCTGGACAGGGACCACCCCACTCATCCTGGCTGTGTTTGCTTGATGTGAATGAAAAAATGAAGCCATGGAGACTTCAGGGTTTATTTTCACGGCATGGCCTCACTTCCCCCAAATGTACCACATTAACAAATTAAAGGAAGAAAGCCATAGAATCACTGCAGTAGTCACAGAACAGCCTTTGTTAAAATCCATCCATTATTTTTATTATGAATAATAAAAATTTCGGGTTTTACTTTTGTCCCCTACGCGGGAGTGCAGTGGCACAATCTTGGCTCACTGCAACCTCAACCTCCCAGGCTCAAGCGATCCACCTCAGCCTCCCGAGTAGCTGGGACTACAGACACCCACTGCCACACTCAGTTAATTTTCGTATTTTTTATAGAGACTGGGTTTTACCATGTTGGACAGGCTGGTCTTGAACTCTTGAGCTCAAGCGATCTACCCACCTTGCCCTCCCAAAGTGTAGAGATCACAGGTGCAAGACACCGAGGCTGGCCAAAAAAAAAACCTTTTTGTTAACTAGAAATAGAAAGCCTCTTTAATCTGATAAAGGTTACCTTCCAAAATCCTATATAGACATGCGTAATTGTGAAATATTCAAAGTGCTTCTTTTAAAATCAGAAAGAAAGATCCCACTAACACCTTGTCTATTCATTGTACTGGGGATCCTTGCCAACGTTGTAAGAAAAAAGAACTAAGAGATAAACCAGAAAATCTATCGAGGTCGCTAGCTATACAACCAGATAGAGTTAAACATATTCCTGGCCAGGTGCAGTGGCTCATGCCTGTAATCCCAGCACGTTGGGAGGCTGAGGCAGGCGAATCACCAGGTCAGGAGTTCGAGACCAGCCTACCCAATATGGTGAAACTCCGTTTCTATTAAAAATACAGAAAACTAGCTGGATGTAATGGTGGGGGCCTGTAATCCCAGCTACTTGGGAGGCTGAGGCAGGAGCATTGCTTGAACCTGGGAGGCAGAGGTTGCAGTAAGCTCGATCACGCCACTGCACTCCAGCCTGGGCCACAGAGTGAGACCCTGTCTCAAAAAAAAAAAAAAGACATTCCTATATACAATCAATGAGCAATCAGAAAACGTAATCCTTTTTTTCGTGAGGATTTTAGTTTGTTTTCTCTGTTGCCCAGGCTGGAGTGTGATCATGGCTCACTGCAGCCTCAAACTTTTGAGCTCAGGCAATCCTCCCACCTGAACCTCCCAAGTAACTCAGATTACAGGCACATGCCACCACACCCAGCTGCAAAAAATGTAATTCTTAAAGGCCCCTGTTTATACCAGCATCACAAATCTTAAGGTCCTAGACATAACACCAGCAAAAGATGTATGAAACCTTTATAGGAAAAATGGTAACATTGTATTAAAAAGCATTAAAAAAAAACCTTAATAAATTGAGAGATGTGAATGTTTGTGGATAGGAAATTTAACTTTCTGGGAGTTTTTTGGTGGTTTTGTTTGTTAGTTTTTTGAGACAGGGTCTCACTCCTGTCACTCAGGCTGCAGTACAGTGGTGCAATCTTGGCTCAACTGCAGCCTCACATTCCTGGGCTCAGTCGATCCTCCCACCTCGGCCTCCCCAGTAGCTGGGACTACAGGTGCACGGCACCATGTCCAGCTAATTTTTTTTTTTTTTTTGTATTTTTAGTAGAGACAGGTCTTGTCATGTTTCCCAGGCTGATTTCAGACTCCTGGGCTCAAGTAATCCACCTGCCTTGGCTTCCCAAAGTGCTGGGATTACAGGGCATGAGCCACCATGCCCAGCCAACTTCTGTAAAGATGTCACTTCTCCCCCAGATAATGTATAAATTCAAAACTATTCCAAAGGAAATCCCAGAAGGACTGTGTGGTCCTTGATGAAGTTAATTCTAAAATGTGTTCAGAAAGAATTTCTACTCTGGTAACGGCAGATGGGGCAATTCCACCCATCTGTCTTGCTAGGAAAGCTTGATCAGATTTTAAAACCCTGCCAGCACTTTGGAAGACTGAGGCAGGTGGATCACTTGAGGTAAGGAGTTCAAGATCAGGCTGACCAACATGGTGAAACCCCATCTCTACTGAAAAAATACAAAATTAGCCAGGCATGGTGGCACACACCTGTAATCCCAGCTACTTGGGAGGCTAAGGCAAGAGAATTGCTTGAACCTGGGAGGCGGAGGTTGCAGTGAGTTGAGATCTCACCACTACACTCCAGCCTGCACCACAGGAGTGAAACTTTGTCTCAAAAACTAAAATAAAACATTATAATATAATATAACCCTGCCTGAAGTCATCAGAGAGCTAGGAGAGAAGGAGGAATTACTGGGCCAGGATTCAGAAAGAGACACGGGAGGGAGGCCTGACATCGTGAGCCAGGTAATGTTAAGGACGTCAGACGTCTGACAATTCCAGACTAGGTGGCTGAGAAACTGAGCAGCACTTCAGACAAAAGTGTAGTGAAGGGGAAAAGAGGACAGTCCAGAACTCACCTGGCTTTGAATGCACCCACACCTCCGGTGACTTCTCAATCCCAGCCATGGATAAGTTCTTCCTCTTGGGTGCTCACCTGCAGCCCTAGAGTATTTGTTAGCATCCACAGTTTCTCTTCTCTTTGAATTATTCTTTATATTAACCTTTTCCTGTTAAAAATTACTCTCTGTCTCCTGATCAGTCCTTGACAGGAAAGCATCAAGCCTTGGATTCAAGAAGCCTATGAACCCCAAACAGGATAAAAAGAATATGTCAGCCCGGTGCAGTGGCTCACGCCTGTAATCCCCACACTTTGGGAGGCTGAGGCAGGTGGATCATGAAGTCAGGAGATCGAGACCATCCTGGCCAACATGGTGAAACCCCATCTCTACTAAAAATACAAAAAAATTAGCTGAGTGTGGTGGCACACACCTGTATTCCCAGCTACTCGGGAGGCTGAGGCAGGAGAATTACTTGAACCCAGGAGGTGGAGATTGCAGTGAGCTGAGATCACACCACTGCACTACAGTCTGGGCGACAGAGCAAGACTCCATCTCAGAAAAAAAAAAAAAAAAAAAAAAAAAAAGAATACACCAAAGCATAGCATGGCTAAGCTTTTGAAAACCAAAGAGAAAAAGAAATCTTTAAGCAACCATAAGGGGAAAAAGGGCCGGTTACCTTCAAAGGAGTCACAATTAGACGCCTCAACAGAATTGACTGAGGCCAGAAGATAAGGGAATGGCATCTTCTTCAATGCCGAGAGAATAGGACCACCATCCAGAATTCTGCAGTCAGTGAAAATACCTTTCAAGAATGCAGGCAAAATCAAGATACTGTGAGACGAATAAAAACAGAAAACTCACCACCGCAGACCCACACTAAGCAAAGACTAAACTGCCTCAGGCAGAAGGAAAATGATCCCAAATGGAAGATCACACTTGCAGGAGAGAATGAAGGAGCAACAAAAAGAGTAAACAGGTGGGTAAATGAACAGTCACTATGTAAAACAGCAACCAACCTGTAATCCCAGCACTTTGGGAGGCCAAGGTGGGCGGATCACAAGCTCAAGAGATCAAGACTAGCCTGGCCAACATGGTGAAACCCCATCTCTACTGAAATACAAAAAGTAGCTGGGTGTGGTGGCGCAGACCTGTAGTCCCAGCTACTCCGGAGGCTGAGGCAGGAGAATTGCTTGAACCCAGGAGGCAGAGGTTGCAGTGAGCCGAGATTGCCCCACTGCACTCCAGCCTGGCACCTGGTGTCAGAGCAAGACTCTGTCTCAAAAAAAAAAAAAAAAAAAATGATGAAAATGTCTGGCCACAGTGGCTCACACCTGTAACCTCAACACTGGGAGGCTGGGGCAGGTGCATCACTTGAGCCCAGGAGTTCAAGACCAGCCTGGGCAACATGGCAAAACCCTATCTCTACAAGAAATAGAAAAACTAGCCAGGTGTAGTGGTGAGTGCCTGTAGTCCCAGAGCTACTGGGTAGGCTGAGGTAGGAGGATCACCCAAACCTGGGAAGTCCAGGCTGCAGTGAGCCATGATCACCACCACTGCGCTCCAGCCCGGGCAACAGAGTGAGACCCTGTCTCTAAATAAATAAATATTAAGTTACAAGTACAGAAAAGTTGAAAGTAAAATTTTGGAAAAAAATATACTCTGCAAATAGGACCACCAAAAAACCCAAAGCATAGCTCTATTAATATCAGAAAAAGCAGACTCGAAGGCAAAAGGCATTGCTAGAGTCACAAAGGGGACACTTTGTAAAGATACGAATCATGCTCACCAGATTTAACAATTTCTAAATTTGTGAACACCTAGTTAATTACATGTCCTCAAAATAGGTCAAGCAAAAGCTGACAGTATTAGGAGAAATGGATAAACCTATGCTCCTAGTGGGAAGTGCTAACACACCTCTCTCCCAGACATTTGAGGAATAGAAAACGTCAAATCTTATACAACACTTCCAAAGACAAAAATAGAAACGATTTCAACCTTTGTGATGAAACCAACATAACTATGACACCGAAACCGTAACAGGAACGAAAATCACAGTCCAATTTCACTCGTGAACATAGTGCAAAAGTTCTAAACAAAATGTTAGCAAAGCCAGCGATGTATAGAAAGTACAATAATACATGCTCATTAAGATGAATTTATTCCAGGAATGAAAAGCTGTCTTAACATTTGAAAATCAACATGTTACCATATTAATGGAATAAATTTGATAATTTTCTCAGTATACATGAAAATAAAATTCAATATCCATGTATAATTTTTTAAAACTCTATAAACTAGGAATACAAGGGTACTTCCATAACCTGCAAAAAAAATCTTTTTTAATAAGGTGAAATGTTGAAAGCCTTCGTTATGAAACTGGGAAAACGACAAGGTTGTTTTCTGTCAGCACTCCTATTCAGCCTTACACTAGGGGTCCCAGCTAGTGCATTAAGGCAAGAAAAATACCCAAGGTGGGCAAGAATTGAAAAAGGACGACAAGGCCAGGTGCAGTTGCTCATGCCTATAATCCTGGCACTTTTGGAGGCCAAGGCGAGCAGGTCACAAGGTCAGGAGTTCAAGACCAGCCTGGCCAACATGGTGAAACCCGGTCTTTACTAAACACATACACACACACACCATTAGCCAGGCGTGGTGGCCCACACCTGTAATCCCAGCTACTCAGGAGGCTGAGGCGGAGAATCGCTTGAACCTGCGAGGCGGAGGTTACAGTGAACCTAGATGGCACCGTTGCACTCCATGCACTCCAGCCTGGGCAACAGAGCAAGACTCAATCTCAAAAAAAAAAAAAAAAGGAAGACAAAAAACTCATTATAAAGAGACAACATTATGTATATAGAAAAACCCAACAGAATCTACAGATAAATGATCAGAATTAAGAAGTGAATTTGAGACTGGATGCAGTGGCTCACACCTGTAATCCCAGCACTTTGGGAGGCTGAGGTGGGCAGATCACCTGAGGTCAGGAGTTTGAGACCAGCTTGGCCAACATAGCAAAACCCTTTCTCTACTAAAAATACAAAAATTAGCTGGGCGTGGTGGAGCACACCTGTAGTCCCAGCTACTTGGGAGGCTGAGGTGGGAGGATCGTCTGAACCCAGGAGTTGGAGGTTGCAATGAGCCAAGATGGCACCACCCCACTCCAGTGTGGGCAACAGAGTAAGACTCCATCTCAAAAAAAAAAAAAAAAAAAGTGGCCAGGCACGGTGGCTCACGCCTATAATCCCAGCACTTTGGGAGGCCGAGGCGGGTGGATCACAAAGTCAAGAGATCAAGACCATCCTGGTCAACAAGGTGAAACCCTTGTCTCTACTAAAAATACAAAAATTAGCTGGGCATGGTGGCGCGCGCCTGTAGCCCCAGCTACTCGGGAGGCTGAGGCAGGAGAATTGCTTGAACCCAGGAGGCAGAGGTTGCTGTGAGCCGAGATCATGCCATTGCACTCCAGTCTGGGTAACAGCAGCGAAACTCTGTCTCAAAAAAAAAAGTGATTTTGGGGCATGGGGCTCATGCTTGTAATCCCAACTGCTTGGGAGACTGAGACAGGAGGATCACCTAAGCCCAGGAGTTCGAGGTTTGAGGCTGCAGTGAGGGACAGTCACACCACAATACTCCAGCCTGGACAACAGAGTGACACCCTGTCTTAAAAAAAAAAAAAAAAAAAACTTGCAACATAGGGAGACTCCATCTTTAAAAATAAAAAATTAGTCAAGTGTGGTGGCACACACCTGTGGTCCTAGCTCCTCGGGAGGCTGAGGTGAGAGGATTGCTTAAGCCCAGGAGGCTAAGGATGCAGTGAGCTGTGATCACACCACTGCACTCCCACCTTAGTAATAGAGAAAAACAATGTGTCAAGTATTTTTGTGCCACATAATGAAGTGTGATAGTGGCACAAGAATAGACAAACACGGCTGGGCATGGTGGCTCACACCTGTAACAAAGCATTTTGGGAGGCCAAGGTGGGTGGATCACGAGGTCAAGAGATCAAGACCATCCTGGCTAACGTGGTGAAAACCTGTCTTTACTAAAAATACAAAATTTGCCAAACATGGTGATGGGCACCTGTAATCCCAGCTACTCGGGAGGCTGAGGCAGGAGAATCGCTTAAGCCTGGGAGGCAGAGCTTGCAGTGAGCTGAGATTGTGCCATTGCACTGCAGCCTGGGCAACAAGAGCAAGACTCCGACTCAAAAAAAAAAAAAAACTGAGAACTTTTTACCAGATGACACCATTAAGAGTGAAAAGGGATAGAGGCTGAGGCGGGATAATTACTTGAACCCAGTAGACGGAGGTTGCAGTGAGCTGAGATCGTGCCATTGCACTCCAGGCTGGGGGATGACAAGAGCAAGGCTCCTTCTCAAAAAAAAAAAAAAAAAAAAAGTGAAAAGGGAAGTTACAAAGTGAGAAAGGGTGTTTGCAATACTGTATCTAGCATAGGACTCATCCCAATTACATACAGAACTGCTCTAAAACAGTCGACATAAAAATGGCACAAGACTTGAACAGGCACTGCATAAAAAGAGACATCCAAATAGCCGATAAACATGATAAAAGGCTAGGCCAGGTGGCTCACACCTGTAATCCTAGCGCTTTGGGAGACCAAGACAGGAGGATTGTTTGAGGCCAGGAGTTTAAGACCAGCCTGGGTGACTGAGAGAGACCCTGTCTCTATAAAAATAATTTAAAAATTAGCCAGATGTGGCAGTGCACACCTGTGGTCCCAGCTACTTGGGAGACCAAAGCAGGATTGCTTAAGCCCGGGAATTCCAGGTTACAGTGAGCTGTGAACACACCACTGCACTCCAGCCTGGGGCAACAGAGTGAGAACCTTGTCTGTATTTAAAAAAAAAAAAAAAAAAAAAAAACATGATAAAAGACTAAACATTGTTAGTCATCAGAGAGATGCAAATTAAAACCACACTGAAATGCCCCTGCACACATCCCAGAAGAGTTAAAACGTAAAAGACTAAAGGCCGGGCGCGGTGGCTCAAGCCTGTAATCCCAGCACTTTGGGAGGCTGAGGTGGGTGGATCATGAGGTCAAGAGATCGAGACCATCCTGGTCAACATGGTGAAACCCCATCTCTACTAAAAATACAAAACATGGCTCGGCGCGGTGGCTCAAGCCTGTAATCCCAGCACTTTGGGAGGCCGAGGCGGGTGGATCACGAGGTCAAGAGATCGAGACCATCCTGGTCAACATGGTGAAACACCGTCTCTACTAAAAATACAAAAAAAATTAGCTGGGCATGATGGCACGTGCCTGTAATCCCAGCTACTCAGGAGGCAGAGGTTGCGGTGAGCCGAGATCACGCCATTGCACTCCAGACTGGGTAACAAGAGCGAAACTCCATCTCAAAAAAGAAAAGAAATCTAGAACCTCAGGCCCTGCATGCTGAACTGGAATCCACAGTCTCCAGGCTGCTCCTCACTTATTTCCTCATGCCTGCCTCTCCAGCTTTCTGGAGGAGGGGCTGGGCTGAGCTGGGCCATTCTCCTCTTTTAGCCCCTGGTGCCAGGTTGTAAGCAGCACACCATGGCTGCTCAGAAAGCAATTGATTTAGCTTGAGCTGTCAATCTTGTGTGGCTCAGCTGGGGGTCCCCTTCCTCCTCTCTCTCTCTGCAATCGTTTTTTCATTTGTTTTTGAGACAGTCTCACTCTCACCCAGGCTGGAGTATAGTGCCGTGATCTCAGCTCACTGCAAGCTCCGCCTACAGATGGGGAAGGGGTAGGGGAACAACCAGGCAGGAGCCACCATGCTCCACTCTCCCAAAGGGAAAGATATACTGACAGCCTAAGCTGGGCTGGAGGTTGCGGGGAGGCAGAGGTTGCAATGTCCTTCCAGGTGGCTCTGAAGACAGTGAAGGCTTTGGTTTCTACAGGGGCCTCCCGGGGCACAGATGAAGGCAAGTGTCTAAAGAAGGCCTTGAGAGGAGGCACCTCTGGTGGCCCCCTGTCCCACGACTGGGGCTGGGCTCTGGAGATATCTCAGATTAGGACAGGGACTGAGCTCCAGTGGGCCACCTGTGGAAGCTGAGGAGGCTTAGGCCCAGCCACAAGTCTGCTGAGGGTTGCCAAGCCTGCCCTCCTCTGGCCCCAGATCCCCTCTGCAGGCGAGAACTGGCTACCCGCAGGGATCCAAGTCCAGAGAAAGGGTCTGGCCCAGTCAGTTATCCCTGGGCATTCCAGCATCCGACATCTCAGTGGGAGCCACAGCCTCAGGGAAGGTAGAGTGCCACCACCACATAGATGACCCAGCTGGTGGACACAAAGACCCCAAAGAGCAGGCTGAAGAGCACCAGTGAGCGGGCCTTCCTCGAGGCTTCCTCAGCCTGGGCCAGGTCGCCCCTGCCCAGGGCTGCGCGGGTCTGCAACAAGACAGGGTGGGAGAGGGTGGTAGGACAACCAGGGAGCTCCCACTCCCTCCCAGTGTGACTGAGGCCCAGTTCCACAAACTAAAACACTGACATGCTGAGAGGTTCAGTGGCCTGCCAGGCCCACAGCTTGAAAGGTGGCAGGAGTGATGGCAATGGCGGCTGCCAGCTGTTGGGCGCTTGTCATGCCCAGCACTGATGCATGCCCTCAGCTTCAACCTCTGCCATCGTTGCAGCAGTCCTGAGGCTGACCCCACTTTGCAGATGTGGAAACAAAGACTCAGAGAGGTTAAGTGACCTACCCAGGGTCACACCACTAGTGGTGGAGCCAGAATTCACCAGCAGGTGAGTCCCACCTCTGAGCTGTCCTGAGAGCTGCCTTCTGCTTATGGCTGGGGGCTTGAGCAGCAGAGTGAAGCCAGACCCGAGACCAAGTCTGCCCTCAGCACAGGCCTCCAGAGGCTTGCTTGCTTTTTTTTTTTTTTCCTTGAGTTGGAGTCTTGCTCCGTCTCCCAGGCTGGAGTGCAGTGGCACAATCTCAGCTCACTGCAACCTCTGCCTCCCAGGTTCAAGTGATTCTCAGCTGGTGGTGGGCACCCTCATCTCTCTGCTCTCCATCCATCCATCCCTCCATCTCTTTATTAGGCCCTGGGGATTCAAAGATGCCAATGTGATGACGCTCTAATAGAGACAGAAGCAGGGCCACGCCTGGTGGCTCACACCTGTAATCTCAGCACTTTGGGAGGCCCAGGCTGGTGGATCACAAGGTCAAGAGATCAAGACCAGCCTGGCCAACATGGTGAAACCCCATCTCTACCAAAAATCCAAAAATTAGTTGGGCATGGTAGCACATGCCTGTAGTCCCAGCTGTTTGGGAAGCTGAAGCAGGAGAATTGCTTCAACCCAGGAGGCAGAGGTCGCACTGAGCCAAGATCATGCCACTCTGAACTCCAACCTGGGTGACAGAGTGAGACTCATCTGGAAAAAAAAAAAAAAAAAACCCACAAGCCCCCACTGGAATGGGCAGCATATTGGGCCTTATCCATCTTTCACACCTTTACTGTAAACTGTTTTGGCTAAACTTCCCACAGCACATTTTGAGTAGTTGTGGGCAGAGACAGGAGGGGCAAGGACCCCACAAACAACTGGGCTCTGACTTCCCAATTCCCACCCCTCTCCAGAGGGAGAAACACCAAAGACTGTGTGGCTGGAAGAGGGGCTCTGTGGACCCCTACCTGGGCACCAGTGGCTGTGTGCCAGGAGAGGCTGTGCCAGGGCTACCCCTATACCTACCTCGTGGGAGTACACGATGGCGATGAGGCCAGTAAGCAGACAGCAGAACAGGGTCACCAGCACTGACTCCATCATGTAGTCCTTGGGCAGGGGTCTGTGCTCGACTGTGGCAGGGCCTGGCACGCCAGCCATGGGGCCATTGTACTGTGGGGGCAGAGCCACAGTGGTGAGGGAGCCGACCCAGCCTCGGGACAACAGAGTGAGTGAGAAGGCCAGCCAGGCCGTGCAAGTTCAGTCACTCGGTCTTCCCGGTCCCCACCCAGTGAGGCTACAAATCACAGAAGGGTCTGGTCAGGGTGCCCCTCTGCCCTCTCCCTCCTGCATCCCTGGCCATTCAGCCCCTCCCCCCCGGAGTCTTCAGTCCTGCCCTCTACAATTGGCTCCATCCAGGGTCCAGCCTCCGTGGCACCTCCATCATCCTCACGGGGCTCACAACCCCATCCTGGGAGACTTCCAATCTTCCCACAGGCAGCCCAGGGTTTTTGTTTGGTTTCATTTTTATTTTTATTTTGGAGGCAGAGTCTTGCTCTGTCACTCAGACATGCAATGGTGTGATCTCAGCTCACTGCAGCATCGACCTCTCAGGCTCAAGTGATCCTCCTGCCTCAGCCTCATAAATAGCTGGGGCTACAGGCGCCTGCCACCATGCCCAGCTAATTTTCTTTTATTTTTAGTAAAGATGAGGGCTCACTGTGTTGCCTAGGCTGGTCTGGAACTCCTGAGCCCAAGCTATCTGCCCATCTTGGCCTCCCAAAGTGCTGGGATTACACGTACGAGCACACCCGGACTGTTTTGTTTGTTCGTTGTTTTTGAGAGGAGTCTCACTCTGTTGCCCAGGCTTGAGTGCAGTGGCGAGATCTCACTGTAACCTCCACCTCAAGCGATTCTCCTGCCTCAGCCTCCCAAGCAGCTAGGACTACAGGCAGGTGCCACCACGCCCGGGTAATATTTGTATTTTTAGTAGACACGGCGTTTCACCATGTTGGACAGGCTGGACTCGAACCCCTGACCTCGTGATCCACCCACCTCGGACTCCCAAAGTGCTGGGATTACAGGTGTGAGCCACTGTGCCCGGCTGTTTTGTTTTAAAGGAAAATCTAAATCACCTCCTGCCCGAAGTCCCTGGGGTCCCTCACCATGGGTCCCACCTTCCTCCCCTCCCCACCAAGCCAAACAGGCCTCACCATCTCCAGAACACCCAGTCTCGGCCCCTCCGCGCCAGTGCGGCGCCCTCTGCCCAGCGTGCCCTTCCTTCTCTTTCCTTAGCCCTCCTATTCATCCTCCAGAACCCCGCCCAAATGCCCCCAACTCCAAGGAGCCCCCGGATTCGCCCGCCCCCAGGACAGAAGTGACCTCTGTGCCTCCGCATGGGCGCCCGCGACCACCCGCAGACAGCACGGAGGGGAGCGAGCCCAGGGCGGCGGCGGCCACTCACCACGGGGAAGGGGAAGGCGGCCCCAGCGGGCTGCGGGAAGAGCGCGGGAGGCGTGGGCGCGGCCGGGTAGAGCGGGGCGGGCGGCGGGAAGAGCGCGGACGCCGTGGGCTGCAGGAGCACGGGCACCTGCGGGAAGGGCGGGTACAGCAGCGGCGCGGCCTTGGGGTCCGGCGGCGCGTAGGGCGGGGGCTCCTCCACGAAGCCGATGTGGTGGGCGCCTCCGGCCGCCGCCTTGGAACCCGGCCCAGCCTCTCCCGCCGCCTGGGCCGGGGCGTCCTCCGGGGCGCGCTCGCTGCCCCCCGCGGCCCCATCCTCGCTGGGCGCTCCTTCCTCGTCCAGGGGCCGTGGGCGGAGTGGAAGCTGCGGGAACGCGGGCTGCGCTGAAATCTGGGGGTCCTCGGGGGCGGCAGGCTGCGCGAGAATCCGGGGGTCCTCGGGGGCGACGGGCTGCGCGGGGCCCCGAGGGTTTTGGGGGGTGGTGGGGCTGCCGCCCCCTTTCGTGTCTGACCCTAGAAAAAAAATGAGTCTGCCGTGAGCAAGAGGCCACCGGGCCAGGTGGGACTCCTCCCTTACCCCAAACAGATCTTCTAAGGACGTCGCTGGTCCCAAAGCTCCCACGAACCAAGCGCCCAGGCCTCTGCAGCTGGGCCTCATAGGATATTGACCCAAAGGGACTGTAAAACAGGCTCAAAGGAGCCACCTGCCTTGCTGGGGTCACACACACTGAGCAGCCCATCTGGGTGGGAACCCAGGCTGCTGGCCCCGCCCCTCCCCGCGCTTCCCCGCCCCCTTTCTTGGCAGACGGCCTCTATTGGGAGGTAGTTTCGCCCACAACTAAGGCCCTTATGTCAAAGCTAATTGGACCAGAGAAGGAGAATCAGCCCAGGGAAGCCCCTGATTGGCTGTGCTGAGATACCCCTCCAACTGGGGATGGCTGACCTGAGGAGATGAGCTGAACCAACTAAATTCTTGGCTTGGAGTTGTAGGAGAGGGCTGAGGTGCCCAGGAGCTGCCAAACTATAGCTAGAGTAACATGGTGGAGACAGGAGGTCACACTGAGGCACCAAGAGAATGGACACCAGAATATACGAGGCCCAGTAGCTTGAAGCCAGGGCTCAGAGCCCGAAAGCTGCCCAGCTGCCTTGCTCCCAACGCAGGCCCTGGCCTACAGCACCCACAGATGAGCATCCTGACCAGCTGAGCACCTGAGGGCCTCGGGCAAGGGTGCAAGGAAGGCCCTGGAAGAGAATGGCAGGGTGGACTCTCCTGACCTGGGTGGGCATTCAGACCTCACCACAGGAGAGGGCAGCCCAGAGCCAGGGGTCTGGCTTTGGAGGTCCGTTTCCTAAGTGTCCTTGAGGGTTATAGAAGGCAGAGGGATGACTGAAACAGACATCACAAGGACATCTCAGTGGGGGTGAGAGGACCCTTGCTGAAGTCCCCCACGGGTAGAATCAGGGATCCTTGCCAGAGGTATCCTAGTGGCAGGGAATGCGGAGCCCCTGGGCACTTCCTGCCTCAACCCCCTCCCAGCAGCCAGGGGCTCACTCATGGCCCCCGCTCCCCATACACCTGTCATGCTGTTTATACCGCCACACCTTTACCTGTGACGTTCCGCTGTTCCTCCACCCCTTGGATCTGGGCTTGGCCATGTGACTTACTTTGGACAATGGGACATTGACAAACATTTTGTAAGCAGATGCTTTAAAAACCTTTCTCTCCAGGTTCACAGGGGCTGGGGCTGGGGAGTTAGTGTTTCATGGGTGTAGAGTTTCTGTTTGGGAAGATGAAAAAACGTTCTGGAGATGGATGGTGGTGATGATCGCACAACAGTGTGAGTGTACTTCATGCCTCTGATTCACACTTAGAGGTGGTTAAAATGGGGAATTGTACGTTATGCATATTCAGCACAATTTCTAAAAGTCTCTCTCTCCAGATCATGACAACTGAGAAGTCTAGACAAAATACAACAAACAACCGTCTAACCGGGAGCGGTGGTTCACACCTGTAATCCCAGCACTTTGGGAGGCTGAAGCAGGCAGATCCTGAGGTCAGGAGATCAAGAGCAGCCTGGCCAACATGGAGAAACCCTGTCTCTACTAAAAAAAAAAAAAAAAAAGCTAAGTGGGCATGGTGGTGAGTGCCAGCTACTTGGGAGGCTGAGGCAGGAGAATCACTTGAACCCAGGAGACAGAGGTTGCAGTGAACCGAGATTGCATTGCTGCATTACAGCCTGGGCAACCAGAGCAAAACTCCATTAAAAAAAAAAAAGCAACTATCTGAGGTTACTGAAAAGCAAACAAAAGCAGGCCTGTTGTGGCATCAAAACTTGGAGAAATGGGCTAGGCATGGTGGCTCACGCCTGGGAGGCCAAGGCGGTCAGGAGTTTGAGACCAGCCTGGCCAATATGGTGAAACCCCATCTCTACTAAAAATAAAAAAATAAAAAAAATTAGCTGAGCATGGTGGTGAGTGCATGTAATCCCAGCTACTAGGGAGGCTGAGGCAGGAGAATGGCTTGAACCCAAGAGACAGATGTTACGGTGAGCCCAGATCACGCCACTGCACTGCAACAGAGTGAGACTCCATCTCAGAAACCAAAACAAAACCAAAAAAACTTAGAGAAATGGACGTCGAGGCGGGGAGTTTTCTGCTTTTCCCCTCTCATTGCCCTCGCAGCTCAGAGCACCAGCGCCAGCTGCACTGGAGCAGCAGAACAGGAAACTAAAAGTTCAATAGAAACCCCATCAGCTGGGCGCAGTGGCTCACACCTGTAATCCCAACACTTTGGGAGGCCGAGACAGGCAGATCACGAGGTCAGGAGTTCAAGACCAGCCTGGCCAAAACGGTGAAACCCTGTCTCAAAATACAAAAATTAGCCTGGCATGGTAGTGGGCACCTGTAGTCCCAGATACTCAGGAAGCTGAGACAGGAGAATCGCTTGAACTCGGCAGGTGAAGGTTGCAATGAGCTGAGATCCTGCCACTGCACTCCAGCTTAGAAAACAGGGAGAGACTTCATCTCAAGAAAAAAAAGAAGAAAGAAAAGAAACCCTGTCATTCCAACCAGATGGACCAGAAAAGGAAAGGGCTCCCCACTCTCTGCAGAGTGAGAAGAGGGAGGCAGTCCTAGAAGAGACAGAGACAGAGAAGGGGGTCCCCTGATTCTGGGTGTGACCTGGGGTGACCACCCTATCACCATCTGCCCAGGACTTTCTCGGACTTACTACTGAAAGTATCACATCCTGGGAAACTCCTTAGTCCCAAACTGGGATGGTTGGACTCCCTAGAATGAATTCACACAAGTCTTGGGCTCCCCACTGAATGGCATGTACAGGAGATAAACCCAGACCAGCCTAACAAAAACTCTGAAAACTGACCCAAGTTTGGAAATGCCACTCATAGGAGGTGAAACAGAACTTGTGGTCTGAAACTAACCAGCCTGATTGCCAGCTGAAACCAAACAAACCCACCTTCTCTGCGGAATTGTTAACAGGACCAAGAATCTACACAACATACTATTCACAATGTCCAGGATCCGAGATCGTTACCATAAAAATGTGGAAATGTGACCAATGCTCAAAGGAAAAGACAGTCAACAGATGCCAACCCTGAGATGACCCGATATTGGAATTTTCAGAAAAAGCAGCTGTTAGAACTATATTCCGTGAGGTCAAGATAAACACACGTGGCCAGACGTGGTGGCCTCCTCACCGGAGGGTGCAGTGAGCTGTGATCGAACCACTGCACTCCATCCTGGGCTGCAGAGTGAGACCCTGTCCTCCCCAAAAGGGAGGGGTGGCATGTGACAAACTTTCTGTGCCTCCATTTCCTTATCTGTAAAGTGAAGATAAATCACAGTCATAATCATTTTTAAAGAGGCAAACATGGCCGGGCACAGTAGCTCACACCTGTAATCCCAGCACTTTGGGAGGCCAAAGTGGGTGGATCACTTAAAGTCAGGAGTTCCAGGCCAGCCTGGCCAACACAGTGAAACCCCATCTCTGCTAAAAATACAAAAATAGGCCGGTGTGGTGGTGGGCGCCTGTAATCGCAGCTACTTGGTAGGCTGAGGGAGGAGAATCCCTTAAACCTGGGAGGAGGAGGTTGCAGTGAGCCGAGATGGCACCACTGCACTCTAGCCTGGGCAATAGAGCAAGACTCAGTCTTGGAAAAAAAAAAAAAAAAAAAGGCTGGGCATGGTGGTTCATGCCTGTAATCCCAGCATTTGGGAGGCCGAGACCGGCGGATCACGAAGTCAGGAGATTGAGACCATCCTGGCCAACATGGTGAAACTCCTCCTTTACTAAAAAATACAAAAAAAAAAAAAAAAATTAGCTGGGTGTGGTGGTGCATGCCTGTAGTCCCAGCTACTGGGGAGGCTGAGGCAGGAGAATTTCTTGAATACAGGAGACGGACATTGCAGTGAGCCGAGATCTCACCACTGGGGCCACAGTGCAAGACTCTATCTCACAAAACAAAACAAAAGGCAAACATGGGGCCAGGCTCTGTCCTGAGAGCTTTGCTTCCTTAACCCGGGTCATCCTCGGTGGCGCTTTTGCTTTTATGCTCCCCATTTTACAGAGGAGGGAACCCAGGCTCCCAGCAGAAAACCTGGGTCTCCGTGAGTCAGCTCTCCACTCGAGAGAGGTCTCTCGGGGATGCTGTCCCTGCCCCAGCTATCATAACAAAAACCGCAGTTTCCCTGGATCCCGCCAGGGCAAATACCTGGCCCGATGGCACGGAGATAGGGCCGCAGAGTAAATAGATCTGCTGGCGGCGCTGCCTGGGGGGGGCCTCGGGTGGGTTCTCAGGTTCTCGGGCTTTTGACACCTGAGCCTCCCCCAGGCATTCCAGCTGGGAAGTGGGGTCCGGGTTGCCCGCCGGGCAAGTGCTTGAGGGTCTGGGGGAAATCCTAAAGAAACTCTGAAGCGGGGCTGGGGGAGGGATCAGCTTCCCAACATCTTCCGGAGCTGTTTGCAGATGGGACAGGGTGCCCCCATTCCCAGGCTCTCGAGATCAGCTGGGCTGGGGAACGCGGGGGCGGGAGTGCGCGGGACTGTGCAGGGGTCCCACCGCCCCACCGCCCCCTGCCAGCCCGAGACTCCCAGGGCAGAGACTTCCCTGCCCCTCGCACCTTCCAGCGCCTGGCTCCTGGGGGTTGGTCAAAGCCTTGGCCTGGACCTCTCTCCAGCTCTGCCCCACCCAAATTCTCTCGGTCCCTGTCCCCAGCTCTCCCATTACAGGCTCAGTCTCCACCCTACCCTGGCCAGAGTCGCCCACTCCCCTGCTTCGAGGACTTCAGCCTGACCCATACGGACCCGGAGGGAGGGGGCAAAATGCTCAGAGAATGCAGGGCCAAGGCCCCCTCCCCGACTTGCTCGCAGGGGCGCCTCCAGAGCTCCCAAACTTTCCACAACAGCTTCGTGGCCCTGGCGGGGTGTCATGGGTGGGCCTGGCATTCTCCCCTATCTTGCTGCCGCTGGCCTCCCGGGAACCACATCCCAGGGCCTGGGCCCGCCACGCCTATCCCTGCCCCTCCAGCACCTACCCCACAGGTGTCTCCCCCTACCTTCCCTCCAGCACCTGCCCCTCCAGCATCTGCCCCTCCAGTACTCGCCTCACCTGCGCCTGCCCCGCCTGCACCTGGTCGCCCAGCACCTGCCCCACCTGCACCTGCCCCGCAGGCATCAGCCCCGCCATACCTGCCCCTCTGGCACCTGCGCCTCCAGCTCCTGCCTCCATGGCCGGAGCCCGCGGCAGCTGCAGAGGCTGCACGGTTCCCTGGCCCTGCGCCTCCCGTCGGGCCGGCTCGGCTTGCGCCGCGGGCTCGGGTTTCCTGGTGCCTGCCGCGCGGCCGGTTAATAATTGACCGCCTTGTTTGCCCACGGCTGGGTCAACAGTCGCTCCCTGGCGCCCTGCGCTCCGCGGGACCTGCCTCTCCTCCTGGCAGGGGGAGACTCCGCAGGGTTGTGCAGGGCTGGAGGGGTTGGGTAGGAGGGGGAGCCAGCCAGGCAGGACTAGAGAAGTCAGGGTGGTACACGAGAGGGTCCCAAAGGCCAGCCGGTCAGACAATGAATGGTGGGAACCTGGACACCTGGACAGCAGAGCTGGACGGATGTGACCTGCACGGAGGCGGAGTCACAGTGGCTGTAGCTTTCTTTTAATTTTCCAGCAAAAGAAGCCAGAAATGTCGGTTTCTGTGCGGAATCTCTTTTGTTGTTGTTTGTTTTGAGAGGAACCTTGCCCAGGCTGGAGTGCAGTGGTGAGACCTTAGCTCACTGCAACGTCCACCTCCTGGGTTCAAGTTGATTCCACTGCCTCAGCCTCCCTAGTAGCTGGGATTACAGGTGCTCGCCACCACGCCCAGTTAATTTTTTATATTTTTGCCAGAGACAGGGTTTCGCCATGTTGGCCAGGCTAGTCTTGAACTCCTGACCTCAAGCGACCCACCCCCCCAGCCTCCCAAAGTACTGGTATTACGGGGTTGAGCCGCTGCGCTCAGCCATGAAATCTCTTGAGTTTTTGTTGTTGTTTGTTTTTGAGGCGGAGTTTGACTCTTGTCGCCCAGGCTGGAGTGCAATGGTGCAATCTCAGCTCACTGCAGCCTTCACCTCCGAGGTTCAATCAATTCTCCTGCCTCAGCCTCCCGAATAGCTGGAATTACAGGCACCCACCACCACACCTGGCTAATTTTATATTTTTAGTAGAGACGGGATTTAGCCACTTTGGCCAGGCTGGTCTCGAACTTCTGACAAGTGATCCACCTGCCTTGGCCTCCCAAAGTGCTGGGGTTACAGGCATGAGCCACCTCACCTGGCCAAAAATCTCTTCAGTTTTAGAAACATTTGTGTGGGATTTCTATTCTCTCTGACTGGAGAATCTGAGGCAGGTCCCAACCCAACCACCTGGAAATGCTAGAGACACAGCACCAGCATGCCAGGCAGTCTCTTATGTTCGTAGCTGAGCTCCCAGGTAGCCAGGAGAATCTTCAAGGACTAGCAATGAAGAGGGAGGGACAGAGATGCCCAGGAAGTGTGTACCCCCAGGGGCTTTGCTCTCAGTGTCTAGGGCTTGAGTTTTCCATCCAGATATGGACAGGAGGTGAAGCCTTGGGTCTGTGAAAGGGAGTTAGGATGAAAGAGATGAACAGAAAACAAAATCTGCCCATGGCTCACAGAGGTGACAAGGAAGCTGGTGTGACCCAGCCTGGAATCTGATTGTGGAAATAAAATCTCCCTGGGAGTTGTAGCCCTGGGCCTGTTCCTCACATGAACATGAGGTTCAAATTCAGCCTATCTGGTAGTCTAGATGCCCCTACACTGAAAATTGTCATTTAATTGGATACGTCTATGTAGCAAAAAGAAAAAAAATTGTCATTAAAAAAAAATTGGCTCTAGGAAAGAGCTCTGTTCCAAAGCAAATGTAAAACTACTCTGGTGGGACGTGACCCTCATTCAGGCTGACAAGATTCCCACCGGGGCCCAGCACGGTGGCTCATGCCTGTAATCCCAGCACTTTGGGAGGCCAAGGCAGGTGGATTGCTTGAGCCCAGGAGTTCAAGATTAGCCTGGCCAACATGACGAAACCCTGTGTCTACAAAAAATACAAAAATTGACCAGGTGTGGTGACGTACACTTGTAATTCTAGCTATTTGGTAGACTGAGGTATGAGAACTCCTTGAACCAAAGAGGTGGAGATTGCAGTGAGCTGAGACCATGCCACTGCATTCCAGCCTGGGTGACAGAGCAAGACTCTGTCTCAAAAAAAAAAAAAAGAAAAAAGAAAGAATCCAAGAAAATTTCCCAGAACTAAAGGATGCAAATCTTCAGAAAGAGGTCACTGAGGGCCCAGCATAATGGGGAAAACACCCTCTAAAGGAACATGATTGTGAAATTGCAAGATTTAGGAGCAAAGAAAGATTCTATAAATGTCCACAGGAAACAAAGTCAGTTTTGTCCACCAGATCAAGAATCAGAACAAAATGGAATTATCAATGGGAATATTGAGGCCAGGTGTGATGGCTCACCCCGGCAATCTCAGCACTTTGGGAGGCTGAGGCCAGAGAATTGCTCGAGCCCAGGAGCTCGAAACCAGCCTGGACCACATAGTGAGACCACATCTCCACAAAAAGTTAAAAAAAAAAAAATTAGCCAGATGTGATGATGTGCCTGTGGGTCCCAACTGGGCAGGAGGCTGAGGTGGGAGGATTACTTGAACTAGGGAAGTCAAGGCTGCAGTGACTGCAGTGGAGGTGGAGGTTGCAGTGGGCCAAGGCCATGCCACCACCACACACCAGACTGAGCAACAGAGTGAGACTCCACCTCAAAAGCAATAATAATAATAATATCATGGTGAACACATGTTATTATAAATTTTTCCAAACCCATAGAATGTATACCCAGAGTGACCTCTAATGTAGCTATGGATGTTGGTAATAATGGTGTGTCCATATAGGTTCACTCTGGTGTGGGATGTTGAAAATGGGGGAGACTGCATGTGGGGTGGCAGGGAGTATGTGGGAAAATAATTGCACCTTCCGCTCAACTTTTCTGTGAGCCTAAAACTGCTCTAAAAAAATAAATTGGCCTGACATGGTGGCTCATACCTGTAATCCCAGCACTTTGGGAGTCCAAGGTAGGTCAGGGGATGGCGACCATTTGGCCAACATGGTAAAACCCTGTCTCTACTAAAAATGCAAAAATTAGCTGGGCATAGTGGCACACACCTGTAGTCCCAGCTACTCAGGAGGATGAGGCAGGAGAATCACTTGAACCTGGGAGGCAAAGGTTGCAGTGAGCTGAGATCACGCCACAGTACTCCAGCCTGGCAACAGAGCCAGACTGTCTCAAAAAAGAAAAAAAGATAAACTCTATTACAATTCTTTTTTGAAAAGAAAAATAATTTCTCATCCAAAATAAACAAAAACAACAGAGAAAGTTCATTCAGGCAGAATAAATTTAAAAAACTAAAGCAAAGGCCAGGCACAGTGGCTCGCGCCTGTAATCCCAGCACTTTGGGAAGCCATGGTAGCCAGATCACTTGAGGTCAGGAGTTCGAAACCAGCCTGGCCAATATGGTGAAAACCCATCTTTTCTAAAAGTTAAAAAAAAAAGAAAATTAGCCAGGCATGGTGGCAGGTGCCTACAATCCCAGGAGGCTGAGGAAGGTAAATCGCTTGAACTCAGGAGGCGGAGGTTGCAGTGAGCTGAGATCATACCACTGCACTCCAGACTAGGTGGCAGAGCAGGACTCTGTCTCAAACAACAACAAAAACTAAAGCAAAAATAGGAATTTATAGCATACTAAAAAATAGATTAGGCCAGGCACAATGGCTCACGCCTGTAATCCCAGCACTTTGGGAGGCCGAGGCAGGTGGATTACTTGAACTCATGAGTTCAAGACCAGCCTGGGCAACATGGCAAAACTGTCTCTACAAAAAATACAAAAATTAGCTGGGCTTGGTGGTGTGTGCCTAAAGTCCCAGCTACTCAGGAGGCTGAACTGGGAGGATCACCTGAGCATGGGAGGCAAAGGCTGTGGTGAGGTGAGATCACACTGACCCACTGCACTGCAGCCTGGGAGACAGTCAGACCCTGTTCCAAAAATCAATTCACTCATTAATTATGTGAAGCAATAGAACAAGTGGGGGGAGGAATTGGCAATGCACTGCTCTAAAGCCCTTACCCTGTGTACTGGCAATAGAATGGTATTTGAAGATAAATTAATTAATTCAATACTTATGTTGTAAACCCTAGGGCAATCACTAGGTTTTTATTGAAAAGATATCAACAATAATGTAATAGAAGAGATAAATGGAACCATAAACAATTTTCCTTTTTTTTTTTTTTTTGAGACAGAGTCTTGTTCAGTTGCCAGGCTGGAGCACAGTGACACAGTGTCGGCTCACTGCAACCTCCGCCTCCCGGGTTCAAGTGATTCTTCCACCTCAGCCTCCCAAGTAGTTGGGACTACAGGTGTGTGCCAAATGCCTGGCTAATTTTTGTATTTTTAGTAGAGATGGGGTTTCACCATGTTGGCCAGGATGTTCTCGATCTCTTGACCTCGTGATCCACCAGCCTCGGCCTCCCTAAGTGCTGGGATTACAGGCGTGAGCCACCGCACCTGGCTTTTTTTTTTTTTTTCTAAGACAGAGTCTCTGTCACCCAGGTTGGAGTGAGTCCATCCCAGCTCACTGCATCCTTGAACTCCTGGGCTTAACACCTAGGAGTTAAGTCCCACCTCAGCCTCCCTAGTAAGGGGACTATAGGTATGTGCCACCACCACCAACCTGCCTGTTGTTTTTTTGTTTGGTTTGGTTTGGTTGGTTTTTGTTTTGTAAAGACAAGGTCTCACTGGCCAGGCATGGTGGCTCACACCTGTAAATCCAGCACTTTGGGAGGCCGGCTGAGCTGGGCAGATCACCTGAGGTCAGGAGTTCGAGACCAGCCTGGCCAACATGGCAAACCTCATCTCTACAAATACAAAAATTAGCTGGGCCTTGTGGCACACACCTGTAATCCCAGCTACTTGGGAGGCTGAGGCAGGAGAAACACTTGAACCCAGGAGGCGGAGCTGCAGTGAGCTGAAATTGCGCCACTGCACTCCAGCCTGGGTGACAGAGTGAGACTCCATCTTAAAACAAACAAACAAACAAACAAAAACCCCGCAGTCTCACTGTGCTGCCCAGGCTAGTCTTGAACTCTTGGCCTCAAGCAATCCTCCCACCTTGGCCTCCCAAAGTACTGGGTTTACAGGTATGCATCACCGTACTTTTTCTGAACCATTTTTATGTCAGTTTGTTAGCTTGGAGTTTCTGGCCCCTGTGGGTGGCCCAGGTGTAGCACAGGCCCCAGGTTCCACTTTCTTAGAGATGACTCTGTTTACCCAGAGCTTGAGTGCTGCAATGCTTTCTCCAGCTGTCTGCAGAAGGCCTGTTCCAGAACCTCCTGCTGTGTGTGAGACTGCAGCTTTGATTCCCACCCCTAAGACACATACCTGGTCCTGGACCCTTTATGGGCAACT